TTGACATCATCCTGCTTAAGGTCAGCCAGGGGTGTCCACAGCTGGCTATGGGTGGCTAAGACCATGGGTGTTGGGTTGGAGTCTCTCGCCAGTGCTTAGAAATCTGCCTGGGCTGGTCCCTAGGGGGACGTGGAGGAAGATGAGGCAGTACCTGACAGCGAGCAGGACATCAAGCCACGTTTCCACAAATCACGCACAGTGACATTGCCCCACGAGGCTGAGCGGCCTGATGGTTCTGAGGACGCTGAGGATGATGACGATGATGATGCTTTGTCGGACTGGAATCTGAGTAGGTAGTAGGCCAGCACTGCAGGGAGAGGGTGAGAAGCTGGTGTGGAGCAATTTATGAAGAAGTAGTGGTTGCATTTGGTCCAGAGCTAAGATCAAAAGTGCTGAACACCTGCCTCACAGGCCTCTGAGCCTGAGTCCTGTTGTCTCCCTTCAGGGAAGTGCTCAGCAGCTGCTCTGGATGTCCTTGCCAACGTCTTCCGGGAGGAACTGCTGCCCCACCTACTTCCCCTGCTCAAGGGCCTCCTGTTCCACCCTGAGTGGGTGGTCAAGGAGTCAGGGATCCTGGTGCTGGGTGCCATTGCCGAGGGTAAGTCTCCTGCATTTGATCAGTACCTGCCTGGGCTGACTTGAGCAATGCCAGTGATGGATGCAGCTCCATAGCACAGGCCAGGCCTCCTGCCTTGCCTTAAGTGCTAGCATTATAGGTTTGAGCTACTGCACAGCCAGAATTTGAACAACTTTAGCTCTAGTGTATCTGATGTGTCTCCTCTTACCCCTGCTTTTCATGGGCTCTTTGAAATGCCTCCAAGCCTCAGTTTTCCCAACCCTATCATGTTGGGTTGGATGTATCTAGACCCTAGCCTTCACTTAAAAGCTTTCCTGTGTTCTGGTCACTGCAGGCTGCATGCAGGGAATGGTGCCCTATCTACCTGAGCTGATCCCACACCTCATCCAGTGCCTGTCAGACAAGAAGGCTCTGGTACGCTCCATTGCCTGCTGGACGCTGAGCCGCTATGCCCACTGGGTAGTCAGCCAGCCACCTGACATGCACCTCAAGCCCCTGATGACAGAGCTGCTCAAGCGTATCCTGGATGGCAATAAGAGGGTGCAGGAGGCAGCCTGCAGGTAAACCTTGACCCCTGACCCATGTCCCTACAGTGGCCCCTCACCCTGGGAAATGATGATGCCTGTGACTGCTGACAAGACACTGAAGTCTGTTGTATTCGTACTGGCTGATCCCGTGTACACGCTCCCTACCTGTCTGTGGTGCAGCTCCATCTGCTACAGTCCATTAAGCTTTCCTTCCTATCTTCCATCCACTAGTGCCTTTGCTACCCTGGAGGAGGAGGCATGCACAGAACTGGTGCCCTACCTCAGCTATATCCTTGACACTCTTGTTTTTGCCTTTGGCAAATACCAGCACAAGAACCTGCTCATTCTCTATGATGCCATTGGCACCCTGGCCGACTCTGTGGGCCATCACCTCAATCAGCCGGTGAGACCCTAGAGACCCTCTGCCCCATCTGTGTGTTTGTTGGCGTCCAGAGTCGACCCTGTGTCATATAACTTTAATGCCAGGGATATAGCTACAATGTTGCCAGGCAGGCTGAAGCACTTACCCTGCTTTCAGTCTAGTGGGAGAGATAGACAGTTATGAGACAGCATGGTCAGTTCTGTGCGTGCATGTGTGTGTGCTGGGAAACGGCCTGTGGGGACCAGGAGGCCCTACGCAGGTTCCTGGGAGTGGGAGGAAGGGAAGGATGTTCTAGGGACAGACAAATGAGTAGAATCAGAAGGGCTTACGATTTTGAACCATGGCCAGGAGCTTGGATCTCATTTTTAAAGGACAGTGTTCCCTTACTTAGGCTGCCATATTCTTCGAGGAAGCCTAATTCCCCACTCTCTTTAGGAATACATTCAGAAGCTGATGCCTCCACTGATCCAGAAGTGGAATGAGCTCAAAGATGAAGACAAGGACCTCTTCCCCCTGCTGGAGGTGAGTGGGCTTAGGTCCTTCCTTCAGAATCCTCCCACATGGCCTGAGCTCACTCTTTCCCTTTTCCCTGCCAGTGTCTATCATCTGTGGCCACTGCCCTGCAGAGTGGCTTCCTGCCCTACTGTGAGCCTGTCTATCAACGCTGTGTTACTCTGGTGCAGAAGACACTGGCCCAGGCCATGGTGAGCACCCTTGAACCCCCTGCCCACTTGCTGTACTGGTCAGGCCCTACACTGCTTTCCTCACCTGCCCCATTTGTATCTAGATGTATACACAACATCCTGAACAATATGAGGCCCCTGACAAGGACTTCATGATTGTTGCATTGGACCTGCTTAGTGGCTTGGCTGAGGGCCTGGGTGGCCATGTGGAACAGCTGGTGGCTCGAAGTAACATCATGACATTACTTTTCCAGTGTATGCAGGTGAGTGGGTACCCAACGTAGGCCGCTTCCAAGTCAAGTCAGACCATACCTTAACAGGCCAAGGATTTTTCCTTTCTCTTCTCTTCTCTTTTCTTCTCTTCTCTTCTCTCTCTCTCTCTCTCTCTCTCTCTCTCTCTCTCCTTCCTTCCTTCCTTCCTTCCTTTTTTTCTTTTTTTTTTTTTTAATTTTCCTGGACACAAGGTTCTCTGTGTAGCCCTGGCTGTCCTGGAACTTGCTCTGTAAGCCAGGCTGGTCTAAAACTCACAGAGATTTACCTGCCTCTGCTTCTTGAGTGCTGGGATTAAAGGTATGCAGCACCATGCTCAGGCTCCAAGGGAACTTTTTCTAGACCTAACAGTTTACACAACAACGGCCATAGATGACCCTGTGGCCAGTTCAGGCCCTGACTATGTCCAGGGAATGTCAGAGAAAAGGAGCCCTTAAAAAATAAAATTTTATGGGTTGCAGAGATGGCTTCACAGTTAAAAGTACTTGTTGCTCTTGCAGAGGACCTGGGTTTTGTTCCTAGCACCCACATGGTGGGGTGGCTCATAGCCATCCATAACTCCAGTTCCAGGGGATTTCATGCCCTCTTCTAATCTTTGTGGGCACTAGGCACACACAAGATACATAGCTGTACATGCAGGCAAAACTCATATTTAAGGGCTCCATATTTAAGATAAAAATATATTTTTAAAAGACTGGACATGATAGTGCATAACTTTAATCCCAGCACTCAGAAATCAGAGGCTAGTCAGTTCTGCATAGTAAAAGCTTGTTTCCAAAATAAAATAATCATTTGTGTGCTATTGAGATGGCTCAGCAGGTAGGGATGCCTACCACCAAATCTATGACAGCCTGGCCAGGGAACCCCAGGACTTAAATGAATGAAAGTATGAACCAACTCCTATAACTTGTCATCTGACCTTCACATGTCTGTCAAGGCACATGTGTCTCCTCATGCAAAGATTAAATAAATACAAATTCAAGGGTATGCAGACATGATGAACCAAGTTTGAGCTCCACAAACTTAAAAAAAAAAACAACAGTAACAACAAAGAACTCTGGGTCTACTGGCACATGGTTGTAATCTCAGTCGTGGGGAGGCAGAGATCCCTGGGGCTTGCTGCTCAGTCACTCTAATTAGTGAGCTCCAGGCCAGTGAAAGAGCCTGTCTCTAAAAGCAAAGGAAGGCTGAGGATTGTCAGTGGGAGAGCTCTTTCCTACCATGTATAAGGCTCTAGCAATCTCCCAACACTAAAATATGGATGGATGATGGATACATGGATACTCTAGCAATTGCCAACACTAAAATACAAATAAATGAGTGAATGAATGAATGAATGGTGGCTGGTTCCTCAGGAATAACACTTGGGTTGTTTTGCATTTTTAAGACGGTTTCTCTGTGTAGCTCTGGCTGTCTTGGAACTCACTCTGTAGACCAGGCTGTCCTCAAACTCACAGAGAATCACCTGCCTCTGCCTCCAGGGTGCTGGGATTAAAGGCAGGAGACACCACTGCCCAGCTGACATCTGGTTTTTATAAACAAACAAATGAATGAACCCATGTTGGGTGGTTCCTGATCTGGTCTTTGCCATGCACAGGCGTGCACTCACACCCTGCTCACTCATGCATAAGCACAATAAAACTTGTCAGAGATTTTAGTACAGCTGATTTGAAAAATAAAAGTATGGCCCATTTGTAGTGGCTCATGCCTTTCATCCTACCACTTTAGATTTGGAGGCAGGGGCAGGTGGATCTCTGAGTTCTAGGCTATCCAGGGATATGTAGTGAGACCCTGTCTCAAAACAAAACAAAAACCCCAAAATATAGGTACTGGGGAGATGGTTTAGTCAGTAATGTGCTTTCTGGACAAGAACAGGAACCTGAGTTTGATCTCCATCACCCATGTAAAAAAGCTGGGGTTAGGGCTCAAGAGATGGCTGAGGTTAGGGGTACTTGTTGCTCTTCCAGAGAACCTAAGCTTCGTTCCAGCACCCACATCAGACAGTTGACTATGACAACGGCCTGTAATTCCAGCTCTCCAGGGGATCTGGCTCCCTCTTCTAGCCTCCAAGGGCACCCGCAAATGTGTACAACCCTCTCACTCAACATGTACATATAATTAAAGATAGAAATAAGTGGGTGCCCCGGGCATGGTGGCAGCTGTAGGTTTTGTAGGTTTGGGATGTGGTGGGCTGGGGATTGAAACGAGTTCTGGAGTATTTTAAAAGAAAATGCTTAGTAATGAAATTCACTGCCAGGTCCTGGCACAAAGGCTACAGTATAGTAGGAGAAGGCTAGTGAGTAAGGGACAGCCCTGCTCCTCAACCAATGTTTGTGGTCAGGATGTGCTCTAGGGACTGCCACTTGAGGTGGCTTCGATAGAAGGAGTGAGAGGAACCTTGTCATTCTGCCACCTCTCTCAACTCTCTCAACTCCAGGATTCCATGCCTGAGGTTCGGCAGAGCTCCTTTGCCCTTCTGGGAGACCTTACCAAGGCCTGCTTTATCCACGTCAAGCCCTGTATCGGTAGGCTGCCCTCTGTGCCCCTAGCCCATGAACATTGGCCTCAAGTGATGGAGACATGCCCTGGGAGGCTCATGACCAGATTGGGATGTATTCGTACTGTCTGATGGGGCCTGCCCAGCCAGTTCTGGGAGCTTGGCCCCAATTACCCTTTCTGCTCATTTTTTTTTTTTTTTCCTCTTTTCTGCTGTTTTCTTTGCATTAGCTGAGTTCATGCCTATTCTGGGTACCAACCTGAACCCTGAGTTCATCTCTGTCTGCAACAATGCCACCTGGGCCATTGGGGAGATCTGCATGCAGATGGGTGAGTGCCCTGAAAGTAGCAGGCAGGCTCTTCATTGGTCTGTCTCCACCCTGGGGCCAGAGCTTGATTCTCACGTATCCCCTAAAGGAACGGGGCAAGGGCATGCTTTAATTTCCCTGATAGGTGAAATCAAATAACTGAAAGGCTGTTTATGAGGTGGGGTAGATGATCTGTTTCTACTTTTGGGCTTCCTGTCCTTAGGGAAGACTTGGCGGAGTGGTCTCAGTAGCTTGTGGGTAGTTGACTTTAGAGATTTGCTTTGTGAGGGTCTGTTGTGAGCTGGCTGTGGAGCATCCCGAGGAGGTTCTCTGTTCTCTCATGCTTTGTGGTGCACCAGTTTGCATGAAACTGGGGTCATGGAGTGAGGTCAGCCATACCCAGCTGGCCCTCTCTGGGGAGAGTGGGCCACACAAGGCTCTAAATGGCTGCTCCCTAGGGGCAGAGATGCAGCCCTATGTGCAGATGGTCCTCAACAATCTGGTGGAAATCATTAACAGGCCCAACACACCCAAGACACTGCTGGAAAACACAGGTGAGTACCAGGCGTGGGCCTAGAGGGGAGAGTTCCAGGAAGGGTGTTAACATCTGAAATAGGATTCTGGGAGGAACTCAAAGAAGAATTTTGGCTTTAGAATATATGGGAAGAGACCCAGGCTGGGCTGGGAGGACATCTTTACGGGCCAAACTCAAGGGCCCAGGATAAGCCACAGGGCCGTTCAGTTGGGGCCTGTGGGGCGGGGCTCGGTGCCTCCTGTCAGAGGCCCCGCCACGTACCGTCCCGGGGCCACTCGGGGTTGCAGGTCGCCTGACGAGTCCCTCTGCCATTCCAGCCATCACCATCGGCCGCCTGGGCTACGTGTGCCCACAGGAGGTGGCACCCATGCTGCAGCAGTTCATCCGGCCTTGGTGTGTGCCTGCCTGGGTGGGGCCTGCCGGGGGTGGGCAGGACAGCTATACTTCCTAGTGTACCCTCCATGTATGCATGTGGGAGACTACCCACTGACACCCCCAATCCCGTTCCCTCCATCCATCTTTCATCTATGCTTGTCCTCAAGTCTATCCGCTGACCTGCTGCCCTCCTCCATGGCCAGGTGCACGTCCCTTAGGAACATCCGGGACAACGAGGAGAAGGATTCTGCCTTCCGAGGCATCTGCATGATGATTGGTGTCAACCCTGGGGGTGTTGTGCAGGTCCGGGCAGTGGGGCTCAGAGGGCAGGGTGGGGGCTGGCTTGGACAGCCCCTCACATGGGATCTGTCACATTTCAGGACTTTATTTTCTTCTGTGATGCTGTAGCCTCCTGGGTGAGCCCGAAGGATGACCTTCGGGACATGTTTTATAAGGTGAGGCTCCTGTTGGTCACATGTAAGTCCTGGGGAGTAGACACCACAGGCTTGTCTCAGCCCATTGTCACCCTGCCTCACTGCAGATCCTCCATGGCTTCAAAGACCAAGTTGGGGAGGAGAACTGGCAACAGTTCTCAGAGCAGTTCCCACCGCTGCTCAAGGAGAGGCTGGCAGCCTTCTACGGGGTCTAGGTGAACCTGGAGATCACCAGGTGAGCAGGTCTTTCAGCCTCAGGCCTGCCAGAGAGTGAAAGGACAAAGGGCCTGACCCTACCTCTCTCCTGCAGGTTTCTGTCTGCGTCATCGTCGGAGGGTGTGCTGGGGAATGTGCTGCTTCCAGAAGTCACTGTGCCCTGGTCAAGGGGGGTTAGGGAGGAGTGAGTGGTACCTAAATCCAGATGCTACCCAGTCTGCATCTGTCCATCTGTTGGTCCACTTGCCCCACCATGCCTGATGAGTGGACAGGTGGGGGACTCCATGCTCATCCTACAAATAGGGAGGGGGGTGGGACTTCTTGGCGGGCAAGAGTTCTCTGGGCTCTAATCTGGGTCATCTCAGGCAGCCCACCCGGGCCAGTCGTGGGAGGGAGGAATCCATAAGGCCTACCGAATCCGGTGTCAGATAAGGCAAGGGAATTACAGGTGGGGAGGGGGGTTCCTTGTAGAGAAGCATACACTCACATGTACACATGTGGACACACGCATGTGCAGGCACCACAGCCAGCTAGGCTGCTCCAGCCGCCCCACCATTTCCTCAACTGCATGGAGACAGTAGAATTAGTGAACCCCCAAATTATGCCTATGGCCTTCTGTGTACCTTGCATCTAGAGTATAAGAAGCTTCCGCTGTTTTGCCGGAATTGGTGGTGATTGGGAGGGCTGGGAGGTTTGGGGGACCTCAGCTGGGCCCCCAGGGCCAGGGGAGGAGGGCGGTCATTTGGGGGCTGCCCTCTCAGCACTTACACACTTTGGATCTGCTCCATACACTTCCTGCCAGCTTCAAGGCAGCCTCATTTTAATGTGTCCCCATCTTTGTCATGTCCCAGCCAGCAGCAGAGTGGGGACCATTGGAGCAGCTGGGACTAGCTTGAGGCCACCATGTACCCTTTTCCTGTGTCCAAAGGTATTTATCAAGGCACAGGCCTGGGACTAGTTTTCCTCAAGAGAGCTAAGGCTCGCCAGAGCTGCTGGCATGCTTTTGTGGATCTCCCGTGAAACAGCTTCAAGGATAGTTCCATCTCGAGCTGGGGCAACAGCACGTGAGGGTGAGAACAAAGTACAAAGTCTACTGGGTCCAGCAAGCTTTGAAGGCTTGGAGGAGCAGGGTGTACCCAGGGCCTCAAACTTTGTCCCTTTTGGGACTTAGGTTTATCACAGTGTCCACTGGACTCAGACCACACCAGATGGGTACATTGACTATAAAAATCCTTGAAGAAATTGGTTGAGGATGCCATCAAGGTGGGAGGGGCTTCCCAAGAGGAGGGGGCCATGACTATTTCCAAATTGGCTATGGAAATCAGTCTTGCAAGGCCCTTGAACATTTTTTCCTCCATCCCCTTCCTTGCTTCCTAATTCTTTGTGAGCCTGTTATATTTTGGGGGAGTCTTAGGGCCTGCTGTATCGTCCCTCCAAGGACCTGGACCATATCCCATCTAGGCCTTGTGTCTTCTCTCAAGTTGGTCAGGCCTTGCCTTTATTCCCAGGGACACTTAGTGCACATTCCATAACTCAGCTAGTGGTCCTCATCCCCCTAGCCTGAAACTTGAGCAGGTCTCTGGAAGCCATTTGTAGGTGAAAAAAAAAAAACAAAACAAAAAAAAAAAACAACACAACAACAAACTTTTTTTAAAGAAAAATACCATTAGCTTTCTGGTAATTCCACTTCTTAGGAGCATCCTCTGCTGGGTCTTGGGGTATATTGATGGATTGACTGTCTGATGGAGTTGTGACCCCTCTTTGTCGAAGGGGGGAGTTTCAACTACCTTCAGGAGAGGGGAGCCTGATTCTTGTATTTCCCTTTTTTTATTTTATTTTATTATTTTTTTAAAAATTATTTAATTTTTTAATTTATTTTTTAGTTGGTTTTTGCACAATGAAGTTTCAGTTTAACCTTCCTTGCCCAGGGCTGCTGACACAGACTGACCTTGATCTGCAGCCTTCCTGCCCCCTACCCATTCCTGGCTCTTTTATTACCCCATGGGCTCCCAGGTCTATCTGTTACTGTGCTGTGCTGGGGACTGGCGCCTAGGTGGCGTGAGATTCCACTTGTGTAGAACTTTGTTGAGTAAAGGTCAGTTTCTTGTGAGACCCTTGGTGTCTGGTTTCCCGGTCCTTGGCTTTGGTTGTAGAGTGGTATGAAGGACAACCTCTGTGAAACTCCAGTGCCGTGGGAGGTGGTGACCTCTGGTGGTGACCAGGGGCTCTGCAGGGAATAAGATCAGGAGTAATAGAGCAGGACACCTATGGTTTCTCCTGGCTTCTGAGGGTATGCACTCACACAGTTTGATTTGAGACCCTGTCTCAAAGTAGAGATGAGTAGAATTTTGTTCATGAAATAAAATTGAGGGACCTAGATACATAAAGCCTTAGTTGTCATTCCTAGGACTTGAAGAGTAAATTGAGTGACAAGGAAGCTCTATGTTCATCTTTGTAATGTGGGAAGGTGAGTGTTAAGAAGGTGATTAGATGTATGCAGAACTCTGCAAGGTATTCTTGACAAGTAACAACTTGAGGCTGTCAGACGTGAACCTTGGGTGCAAAGCCTTAGAGCAGGCACCACTGGCTCACTGGGCATGCTCGAAATTCTTGGAGAATAGCTGGCAGGGCCAGGTGCTGGTGCTGCACACCTTTAATCCCACCACTGGGAGGCAGACGCAGGCGGATCTCGGAGTTCTAGGCCAGCTGGTCAACAGAGCAAGTTCCAGGACAGCCAGGGACACACAGAAACCTTATCTGGAAAAATTGGGGTGGAGGTGGGTAATGAATGGGACAGTGTACAGAAGACTGAAGCAGGATTGTAAATCAAGAACTGGAAGTTCTCAGAAGAAAAGCTTTTCACGTATGCCAGGCATGTTGGCTCACATCTTTAATCTCAGAATTTTGGAGGCAGGAGCAGGCAAATCTCTTTTGAGATTGAGGCTAGCCTGGTCCATATATTGAGTTTGAGGTGGGGCTACATAGTGAGAACCTTAAAAAATTTAAAGACACTTAAGTGTTAAGATTCTACATGGCCAGTTATGATTATGAGCAGCTGTGACAATAGATTAAAAATTATCCTGGCCTACCTTTAATCCTTAATGTTATTTGGGGCAACCTGGCCATGGTCATTCAACCCCAAAATAAACTTAACCTCATGGAGCCTAGTTGGTGAAATACTGGCTGTGCAAGTTTGACCTCAGGATCCGCAGCACCTACAAAAAAATGTTGGGCACAGGAGAGCAATACTCCAGAACTGTAGAGCAGGCACAGGTGGATTCCCGAGGCTCACTGGCAGGCCGGCCAGCCTAGCTGAAAGTTATCGGTGAAAGCTCTATTTCAAGATACAAGATGGGCTGAGAGAATGGGCTCGGCACGTGAAGGCATTTGCCTGGTGACCTAGTTTGATTTCCTCCAGAATCCACATAAAGGTGATGTGGAACCCACTCCACAGAGTTGCCCTCTGACCTAGTACACGTGTTCTGTGGAAACGCACTCAACATTCAGGACAACAAAAAACTTAAGACCTCGGGTCTCCAAATACACACAAAGCATAAACTCACGACCTCGCGCGGCAGGTGGTCCAGTGGTTAAGATCACTTTCAGCCGGGCAGGGCTCGTGATGCATACTTTTAATCTCGGTACTCTCGGGGAGCAGAGGCAGATCACCTACCGAATTCGAGGCCGTCCTGGGTTACATGGTGAAGCCATGTTGAAAAGCACTTGGCCTTGCGAAAAACCCAAGTTGGGTTATCAGCACCCGTGTCAGGCGGTTGCCGCTCTGAAACCCTATCTTCATAGCTCAACGGTTAAGAGTGACTGCTCTTCCAGAGAACCCGGTTTCAATTCCCAGTACCCACCTGACAGCTCACAACTGTAACTCTAAAACATGACGCCTTCACACAGGCAAAACACCACTATGTAAAATAAAAATGATTCACGCATGGTAAGAAAACCGAAAGAAGTGAACAGCATGGGATTTCAACATCCGGCTTCCATGCCAGCATCTCGTGTCTGGTGGTTTCTGACGTCATCTAATAAGCGACGGAAGTGATCTCGCGCTGCCTAGGAAACAGGACGCGGCCGAGTAGTAGCCAAACCTGGGACAGCCGCGCCCACCCTGGCGCCATGGAGCTTCCCTCAGGGCTGTGTGGGGATCCTCGCTCTTGTGAGGATGAGTCGGACCCAGAGCCAGATCCCGACCCTGACGCTCAGGCAGAGGCCTACGTAGCCCGCGTGCTCACCCCGCCCAAACCTGGCTTGACCCCGCGGCGCTCGTCGCTGCAGCCCACGCTCTCCTCGTCCCTGGGCGCGCCGGAACGAAAGGCTGCTTCCATAGTCCCAACCGTACGCCTGCCGGGCCTCCTGAGCCTTCCCCCGGAGCTGCTGCTGGAGATCTGCGCCTACCTGGATGCGCGGGTCGTGCTCCATGTCCTGCCGTGCGTGTGCCAAGCGTTGCACGACCTTGTGCGTGATCATGTCACTTGGAGGCTACGCGCTCAGCGTCGCGTCCGCGCACCCTACCCAGTGGTGGAAGGTACGCACACCCCTGGGAACAGGAACTCCTGCTCAGGTCAGGCTTGGGGTGATAGAAAGAGGTATATGGCCTCTGGGTGCGCACAGTTTCTGGAGCAGGCTTCGAGGCTGTCGCAGCTCTGACTGGAGGCAGAGAAATTTTTGGGTATTGCCTAATCCTTAATCGACCACAAGGCAGATATTTGGCTTCAAACTTAGAATTCAAAGAGTCCCCGGTTTGGGTTTTGTTAGCATAAGGCCCTAGCCATGATGAGGAACGAATACTCTAGGACTTACTTCTTGGATTGTACTTGGAGTCAGAATAAATCCAGAGAACCCCCAGACTCTGGATACAGCCTGATGCGCAAGAAGCAACTGCTGTAACAAAGTCCGGGACCCTGGAGTGTTATTATTGATCCAGGATAGGTGAAGCAGAGGTCCTGCATTTTTAGACTCCCAAACCCTGAACTAGCCTCGGGATTTAGGGATTGGGATCATTGATACCAGTAATTTAAATCCTGAGTCTAGCCTGCCATCTTTTCTATTTTATTTTATTTTATTATTTTATTTTTTGAGACAGGTTCTCATGTAGCCCAGGCTGTCCTTATACTCCTGATCCTTCTTCCTTAGCCTCAACAAGTGTTTGGCTAGCCTGTTATCTTTGCAGAGATGGTGTGTTATTGCTTTTGCTCTTGAGTTTATTGGTCTCTGGAGGAAAAGAAAACTTGAAATTGATGATTTTGAGTTTGTGTTGTTTTGTTTTTGAAGGGTTGTAGGGATGAAACTCAGGGCTTTGGGTGTGCTAGGCAAATGCTTTACCTCCTGGCACATCCATCCTCAGCACAACTCTGAGATATTGTTGTTTCTGGTATTACGAGGTCCTTAGTCTCTTGATTCCTCTAACCTGGAAGAGTTTGATTCTGCAGACTTCTGGAATAGGGAGTTTACCTTCAACCCCAGTCAGATTTCCAAACAGCTTTGATAAAACAGGTGCTTGGACCTCATCCGAAGCACTGAATGGTTGATCTGGGGTTTAGAGTCTGTCTAGGAAGGGAGGGAGAGTTACTAGGGATAGAAGCCAGGGCCCTGTGTTTCTGCTGCCAAGACATGCTTCCCACCCCTTGGCTTCTGTGTCCTGATGTGGCTTCCTGGTTTACAGTTAGAAGTTTAAGAACTGTGTCCTGCACCTGGCTCAGGTGCCTAAGGCCAGAAGGATGGGTTAGTCTTGAGGCCCCAGAGAGAGTGGAGGGTGAGATTGCTGTCACCTGAGCTTGGGTTTGGGGATGAAGGCTAGAAAGTGTAGTCTAGGTTTCTTAGAGCTGGGGAAGTATTTCTAGTCCTGCATGGGAGATGAGTGGTCCCGCAGCCTGAGGCAAGGCCAGAGTCTATGCCTGCGTGGTGTAGGGAATGGTATTTAGCTGGCATTCTATCCAGTTGTAGTAAAGGTAGGGCTCCCTGGCAGCCAGAGCTGGCCTCTGTCAGGTGATGCCCACTGAGTATCCTGCTCGTGGTACCCTGTAGAGGAGGATTTTGACTGGCCAGCCGCTTGCATTGAGCTGGAGCAACACCTGGCCCGCTGGGCAGAGGATGGACAGCGAGCTGAGTACTTCTGCCTGGCTGATGGTCACTTTGCTTCCATTGATGCAGTGTTGCTGCTCCAGGTGAGGGGGTTAGGTGGGAGGCCAGGCTGGGTAAGGGGTGAGGAACCTCAACATCTCCGAGCTCTCTTTCTAGGGTGGGGCACTGTGTCTGTCAGGCTCCCGAGATCGAAATGTCAACCTGTGGGACCTGCGGCATCTGGGGAAGGAGCCTAGCCGAGTTCTGGTAAAGGCCTTGGGCACTCAGGGCAGTAGCACACACAAGGTGAGCAATCTTGGGGGGCGGTCAGGAAGGAGGCTGGGAGGGGCTGAAGCTAAGGGATTGGGTTTTGAAATCAGATTGTATAGACTTGACTCTCCCTCTGCTGTCGGTATAACTTTTGGTGAGTTCGGTTTTCCTGACCAGTGGGTAGATAAGGTGGAAGTGGATTAAATATTAATATGCATATGCCATAATTTCAGTCTTCAGTGCCCAATAAGTCATCATGTATACCTCAAAAGGCCCAGTGCAGAACAGTTCTAAAGCTTCCACTGGGGATCAGCTAGACTTCCATGTGACTGTGCTTTCATGAGAAGTGGCTGGTGGAGGACCACTCTCCTGATCATTAAGGTGGTCTGTGCCCGTGGCCTGTTAACGCATTGAGTGCTGAGTTCAAATGTCCGCGCTGTTACATCCTGGCTGTGTGGTCTGTGTAAGGAACTCAACCTCTCTGTGCCCTAGTTGCATCATTTATCAAAGAGCATATATTACAGTCTCCTTTTCAAAGGATTTGGCAGGGAATATGTTGACTAGATGTCAGCTGACTACACATAGTAACTGATACGGCAGGAATTGGTTTTGTTTTATTGTTCTGTTTTGTTTGCCCATTTTTATAAATAGAAAAGAAAGGGCATGTGATTAGTTAGGGTTTGGAGTGGAGACTTCACTTTTCCTTTTTATAACTAAAAATGTATGTGTGTGAGTATCTTACCTGTATGTCTGATCAAGGGCACATCTGGTGCCCATGGAGGCCAGGAGAGGATATTAGATCTCTTGGAACTAGAATTACAGGTGGTTACGAGATGCCATGTGGGTGCTGGGTATCAGACCTGGTCCTCTGAAAGCTCAGTCAGTGCTCTTAATTGTTGAGCCATCTCTCCAACCCTGAGGCTGCAGTCTTAGTCCAGTTGTTCGAGGCCTCAAACCTCCATTAATGTGGGCCTCTGAAGACCTTGACTTAAACCTTGATGGCTTATGCCCATAATTTCAGCACTCACAGGAAGGTAAAAGTAAAGGATTGTTTTGAGTTGGAAGCTAGCTTGAGCTACCTAATGAGTTCCAGGTCAGCCTGGACTATAGAGTCAGACTGTTTCAAAGAGCAAAAGGACGAAAACAAGGTATTGAGGGCTGCTAGGATGTAGCTCATGATAGAGCACTTGCCTAGAATGTGTTGAGGCACTGGGTTCTATCCTAGCCTAAAGAGGGTTGGGGGACACTGAGAGAGACCTGTCGGTGCTACCTGATAGTCCTGGGGATGTGTGTTCTGGTCCTAAGCCTAACATCACGCTTAGAATTTCTTGTGAGTGCTTCAGTTGTTCCCTCCTCCTTCTGACCCTGGATTTTGTTATCTGTGGGAAGGGATGACTCCACAGAGTAGGAGTTAGATGTGTCACTGCAGCCTGTGGAAATGGGCATGAGTGAGGGAAAGCTGTTTGGCCTGGAGTGAATCTGTTCATCTCTTGGATTTTTTTTAACAATGCTCCCTCTTGGGCTTTGGGAGGGAGAGAGCCATGAGCTGTACAGCTCTTAAAGTCTTTTGTGACTGTCATGCCTGCTCCCACAGGGCTGGGTATGGTCGCTAGCAGCACAGGATCACCGTGTGTGCTCCGGCTCTTGGGACAGCACTGTGAAGCTGTGGGACATGGCGGCTGATGGGCAGCAGTTTGGCGAAATCAAGTGTGAGGAGGCCCGGGCAGGGAGCCTGGGGGGGGTTAGGGCCCTGCCCAGCCATCACCCCAGCCTTGTGTGCTGTGTGTCTCCAGGGGCAAGGCGGCAGTGCTGTGCCTCTCCTACCAACCTGACATCCTGGTAACTGGGACCTATGACAAGAAGGTGACCATCTATGATCCTAGAGGTGAGCCTTTATTCCCAGTACTTAGAAGGCAAAGAGAAGCAGATCTCTGTGAGTTCAAGAGCAGCATGGTCTACATAGTAAGTTCCAGGCCAACTAGGGCTACACAGTGAGACCCTGTCATAAAAACAAAACAACAGAAAAAAAATGGAGGTGGGGTGAAGGGGTTGAAGAGACAGCTCAGTAATCTAAGAGCTCTGGCTGCCCTTCCAGAGGATCTGGCTTGGGTTGGGAAGCACACATGTTATCTAACAACTATCTGTAACTGTGATTTGAGAGGCTCCATTGCTTTCTTCTGGCTTCCATGGGCACTTTCATGCATGCCATGCACACACACATGTAGGCAAAACCACTCATACACATAAAATAAGGAGAAATCCCAAAGAGCTAAAATAAAAAATCCAAACAACTGAGTCATCTGAAAAAAGAAAGAACATTGGAGGGTGACCTAAGCCTGCTTGCACTGCAAGACTTTTCTTTGCTTCTGTGACTTCATTTGTGCACTGGAGATTGAGCCTGGGGCCTCCCTTGAGCTAGACAAATGCTTTGTCCCTGAACTCTATTCCCCTTTCACTCTTTTCCTTTTGAGACAGGTTCTCACTGTCTCAGGCTAGCCTTGAACTTACTCTATATCTCGGGCTGACTTCCACCTATTAATCCTTCTGTCTCAGCCTCCAGGCTCCAGTAGTTGGGATTACAGGCCTGCACTGTTAGGCCTGGCTGATGATAAATCCTTTCCCCTCTTCCGATCCTGGGCTGGAAGCCAAGGCTTTGTGGTTGCTAGGCCATTGCTTAGCTGCTGAGATGTATCCCCACCCCAGCCTCGACTGACTCATTGAACTCTGGGAAACTGAAGGGACCCTGAGCTGGACTTAGGCTGGGGTGGAATGTGTTTGGCTCTGTCTTGGGAGAAGCTGGTGGGGTTGGAGGGGAAGGTGGCATGGAGACAGGACCAGTGAAGGACAAAAGCCTGTGGGTCCTGGATCCAGATAAGGTATGAGGGGAGGGGAATGGTCAGTTGTCAGGTGAAAGGCTGAGCAGGTGGAAGGTTTTCCCAGGGGAGATGGTGGCCCAGATTCTCAGGTGGGGCTAGAGTCTGAAGGGCTCTGGTGTCCTCCATCTTCCATGGCCCGACATCCCACTCCAGCTGGCTTGGCCCTGGTGAAGAGCCGGAGGCTGCACTCAAGCGCTGTGCTAGCGGTGCTGGCAGATGACAGGCACATCATCTCAGGCAGCGAGGACCACAGTCTTGTGGTTTTTGATCGCCGGGCCAATAGCGTCCTGCAGCGGCTGCAGGTGGGTGGCCCTCCCTGTGGCTCAGAGGACTGCAGCCCAGCCTGCCATTCCTGAACTGCTTTATGCCTTGTCCTTCCCACAGCTGGACTCCTATCTGCTCTGCATGTCCTACCAGGAGCCCCAGCTCTGGGCAGGTGACAACCAGGGCCTGCTGCACGTCTTCGCCAACCGAGATGGCTGCTTCCAGCGTGTCCGGGTCTGCTAGGAGCCTTGTCTGTACCTTCTCTGTGACTCTTTGGGTGTGGAGGGCTAACTCAGGAGAACACCACCTGAGTATCACCTACCCTTTCTCCTCTAGTCCTTTGATGTGGGTCACCAGTCTCAGATCACAGGGATCAAGCATTCGCTGGGGACTTTGTACACAACATCTACTGACAAGACCATTCGGGTGAGAACCCTGGCCCATGCAGGCGCCTTGCCCCCTTGTAAATCGCCCCCCCCCCCACACAACGGGCAGGGCACATATCCTGACCTCTGCCACTTGTCTCTCTCAGGTTCATGTGCCCACAGACCCACCTAGGACCATCTGTACCCGAAGCCACCACAATGTGTTGAATGGGGTAAGGTCCTGCCCCATGTAGCCTGCTGGCCTACCAAGAGCCCACGCCATCCCCTAACTCCACTGTCACTGTTCCCTAGATCTGTGCTGAGGGCAACGTGGTGGTAGCTGCCTCTGGTGGCCTGTCACTGGAGGTCTGGAGGCTGCTGGCCTGAACAGCTAGCTGGACATGGCTGTGGATGGATATACACTGCCTGCTGAGGCTGCGCTGGGGCCTCTGCTCTGGAGGACCTTCCTGCTCTTGGTGCTGCTGCCCTGCTACACAGGCCTGGGACACAGGAAGCCCTAGGGGTGGGCCCATACCTGTGCCTGTGGAGGTGGCATTCTAGTTTTAGCTACCCAGGGTCCTGTTCCACTCCTGGGTTTGGTTTTGTTTTGTTGAGACAGAGTCTCATGTAACCCAGGCTGGGCTCATATTCATTATGTGTTTGAAGCCAGCCTTAAATACCTGGTCATCCCAAGTGTTAGGATGACAGGTGAGCCATCACACCCAGGGGGTTCCCTGTATTGTTAAGGTTTAGGTGCCTCTCTCCTAGAGGAGAGTGAAGGAGAAATAAACGACCAACTATGCAGTTGTTGGAAACTGGAGTGTGAGCTTTCTGTGAGCACATGTCTATGCCTATTTGGGCTTGTATGTGAATGAGTACATGGGGGGGGTAACATGCTAGGGCTGGGGTGCCTCCTGCTCTGTATGTGCATGCACTCAAGGACCATGAATATAAGTGGACACAGACACTTGTGTCTGATGTAACTTGGTGCTTGTGGGCTGTGTGGCATATAGACTCTGACTGAAATCCCCAGTGTAGGTCTTTATGGAGAGCAGACATCTGTTCCAGCCACCCAGTAGGTATATGTCAGGGGGACATAGTGCAGGTCTCTTCATGCAGGGCTCTGGGTGCACAGATATTTGCAGCTATCCTTGGGGAAATGGGCATAGAAGGAAACCGGACAGGTGTGCACTGAGCCCCCAAAGCCTCTGGTGCCCCTCAGCCTCCCACTTCAGCACACACAAGTTGCAACACCAGAGCAGTCATGTTTATTGAGGCCCTTCCTGTGGTTTCCATAGGAAGGGCCATAGGGGTAGTAGCATTATCATGGGTTCATAGGATAGCACAGGGCTTCTTTTCCTTGAAAGGGTTGGTGGCAGCTGGGATGCCCACAAGGAAGGGGTCGCTCTTGGCCTGTTCCGTGCAGAACTGCAGCAGATCTGTAGCTGCCTTGGACACCTGCAGACCAACCAAGTTAGCCACATTTGGGTGTCCCCCTGCCTCCTTGCCCATCTGTGCCCACCCAAAGCCTAGCCCAACCCTCACCTTTATGCGGTTGATGCCTGCCTCCATCCGCAGTTGCTCCACTGCCCGGCGGGCCTGTCCAATGTCACTGCCAGTGGCCACCTTGCTGGACATCTGGAAGAAGGTGAGTAGGGCTGTGCAAGCCTGAGATTCCACGCTTCTGCAACTCCTTCTGGCTCCCTGGCTACTCCTGGTTCCTGAAGATGCCTGGACACGCTTGGCTACCTGCTCCAAGCCTCAGCTACCCAACTCTGGCTCTGTCCCCAATGCTGGCCTGGTTGCTTCAATCCTCTTTCAGTCCCTGTGGCGACTTTGAAGCCAGGACCCAGTGAAATGTCACCAGCAACAACAGCAGCAGCTGCTGTGACAGAAGGGGTCCATTCCCCTGGAGGCCCAGTGGCTGCTTTCATGTCACATGTTTCCTGGGTCCCCTGGGGAACTGGGCAGCTTGGCTGCAGACCTGAGGGATGTGGGTCTCTAATTTGCTGGATATCTATGGACTGTCCCCAGCAGACCTCCCTCTCTGCTTTTGCCACCGCCTGAGGCTGTGTATATCCTGGCTAGGCTCTTTCTGAGCTCCAAACTGTCTTTTTAATAACTCTCCCTCACCCTACCCCTTTTTAAAAATGGGGTTTGGAGACAGGGTCTTGTAGCCCAGGCTGATCTGACCATCATGCCCAAAATCACCTGTGCCTCATAACTCTTAACATTTTCACCCCCAGATCCTTCATTCCAGCTGTTCAGGCATGCATCTCCAAGGCCTTCATCCCTCTCAGGCACTTGCATATCTAACTGCCTCAGGTACCATAATACCAGTCTTTAACTGAAGTTCTCAGTCTGCTTCTTGTTTACTGTTCACATCACCCACCAGCCCTGTCCCACTGGCTGGAATCAGAACAATTCCCTGTGTGTCAGTTTTCAGCTTCTCTGTCCTGCCTCATCCCTGGCTGTTTTGGGTATGGTGGTGCACACCTGTGAGCCTGTCACTCTTGAGTTTGGCTTGGGCTACATAGTAAGACCCTATCTCTAAAAGCAAAAACAAAAAATCGGAGGTGGGGGTAGGTTGCCACTTCTAGCCTGTTTATCATCCTTCCCTCTTATCTAACCTCAGGGATTATCCTGACATTATTATGTTTGTTTATTCCTTTGTCCTTCTTCCTTTCCTTCCTTCCTTCCTTTCTTTCATTTAGCAATGTATTAGCCTGGTTGAGCTGCTATAACAAAATGTAACAGACTGAATTGTATAAACCATTATTGTATAAACAACAATGAATTGTTGGCTAGGTGGCTAGAAGTCTGAGGTCAAGGTGCTGGTGTTGATTTTTTCTTTAGAGGCTATTGTTTCATCAGCCTCTTTTTAAAAATTATTTTAAAATTGTGTTCATTATCCCAGCCTTCAGAAGGTAGAGGCAGGCTGATCTCTGTGAGTTGAGGCCAGACCTAGTAAATTTCAGGCCAGTCAGTTACATGGTGAGTGTCTCAAAAAATATTGTGTGTATGTGTTGGGGAGGGGAGTTGCATGTGGAGGTCAGAGGACAACTTTTGGAGTCCATTCTCTCCTTGTACCTTGTGGGTCTTGGGCATTGAACTCAGGTAGGCAGGCCTCCTGACAAAGGCCTTTACCCAGTGAATCATAGTCTCCTCAGCCCAGAGATCAACTTCTTGCTGTGGCTTATCTTCACCTGCTTTCCTCTGCTTGCAGATCATTGGTGACTCTGCTTATCTGAGCATAGCAGCCATTACTATCTTAATCAGAGAGGCTGTGGCTACCTACAGTCAACCTGTGCCCTTGGAGGAGGAGGAGGGGGTGAGGGTCATCAGAGTCTCACTTGGAATTCCAGTCACCTTGCTCTCCTGTATGCCGATCCCAGATGTATGCAGTTCTCCCCCAGCTAGCATATATAGGTTAATTGAAGGGGCCCCCTCTATCTATGCATCTCTGTAATCTTTGTATAAAAGGAATTTTCTAGGTCTTCTGGCCTTGGCGAAAATGCCTTGTGCTTGGCATTTTTCTCCAGTCACTTTTTCCTTCAGCTAATGTTACCAATTCCTCTATCCACCTTTCACACTTGAGTCTGTGTGTATGTACATGCATGCACGCATGCTTCAGGTCATAGGAAAACTGGTCCCCAAACTTTATTTTGTGTATATCTGAGCATGTGCATGCATGACGTGCTTGTGGAGGTCAGAAGGTAATTTATGGGAGTCCAAGGCTCTTTTCTTTTACCATGTACCTTTGGTCACTGAGTTATCCTGCAGGCCCCAACCAAATGGATCTGCCTGTCTCTGTTGTGCCTGAATTGCGATACCCCAAAAGACCATCACCAGGAGTCGAGTCCGTTGCAAAACACATGAGGATCTTTTTATTACAAGCTGCAGCTTGGGCTCATGTCCCTCACTGCCGAAGTGGTGAGAGCCAGAGCTGAGAGCCCCGTGCTCAGGTTAGTTGGATGATTTAAAGATTCTGGTCCCTCCCAGCATGCCCAAAGCAGGGGCGATTCCTGCCTGGCAAGCATCTATTGGTCAAAATGCTGCATTTTGAATTGATTGGCTATAGGAAGGTCCCTAAACCATTAATGATCTGGTGTCCCTCTCTAGGGGGATGGGCTAGTTTCCTAGCAACTGTATCTCTAGTGAGTGGGGAAAGAATGCAGTAAGGTGGGTTCTTCCCCTCAGGGCATTGCTGGACTTGTCTCCACCCAGCTAGTCTTAGATCAGGCCTTAAACTTTAACAATAGCTGCTGATTTTTAATCATCTCTGCTTCCGAGGAGCTGGAATTACTGGCATTTATTTTTGAGTCCTGGGAATTGAATGTGCACATCCAATCCACACTTTTGCAAAGCAAGGTCTTTATTGGCAGCTATTTTCTTAGCCACACCACCTTTTGTTGAGGTAGGGTCTCACTGTATAGCAAAGGCTGACCTGGAGTTTCTTCTGCTTCTATCTCCTGATTGCTGGCTGATGTGTGCTCCAAGTCTGGCTTAACCATTTGCCAATTTTAATTTTCTGTTTCATTATTTAGACTATGGACATCAAGAAGACAGGGGTCTTGTCCACAGCTGAATCTCAATGTCCAGCAGATAGCACTATTTAGTGCAGACTACACAAACTGTAGGATTAGTAAGGGGTGGCCATGGCCTAGGCCTAGTGTATCATTAAGAGGATGGATGAGATACAGGTTTAAACAACAAGGTTCTTGGGGTAAAAAGATGGCACTCATCCCTGCCTCCCCATAGATGCCGTTGATCCAGTGAAAGGTGGCAGCTATGGCTGGAGGGGGAGAAGAGGAGGCAATGAAGCTGTGGAAGCTCTGGGAGGCACCAGAAGGAATTGCTATCCCATTTGACAAGAGGCTGCTCATTTTTCCTGAGGCCATAAATCCTGTCCTAGGGCTCCGTGTTAGAAACAATCATCTCACTCATTGCGGACAGGACTATTTGGACAGACAGCTTCCAGATTAGGCACTTTCATCGGCTTGAGGCAGAGTATGCCTAAAGGGAGTAACAGCTCCTGGAGCCACATGTACGGAATACAGGAGTAAAATGGCCGCTACCACAGCAGCAGGACCTACCTAGGGTCATGTGACTAAGTGGCTTCCGGTTTCACCCTAGGCTTTTGAGTCGCATTTCCTGGGCTTGGCCGATCGCGCCGAGGGATCCAGCAAGTCCCGAAGCACCTAGGCTGCTGTGACCGGAGAGCTGCCGGGAGCATATGGAGGGGACCCCGCAGGGGGTGCCGCCCGCCGCGGCGCTGGCCGCCGTGCTCAAGCACAGCTCGGCTTTGCCGCCTGAGAGCGCCCAGGTCCATGGTTACGACTTCAACCGCGGCGTAGATTACCACGCTCTTCTGGAGGCTTTCGGCACCACCGGCTTCCAGGCTACCAACTTCGGGCGCGCGGTGCAGCAAGTCAACGCCATGGTGAGGCGCGGGGCGGGGGCGGGACCGCTCCGCGTGGATTCCCGTGTGAGTCTCTGGGCTGGGCGGGGCGGAGTCCCGGTAAATTAGCGTCCTGGGACAGGAGGCGCTTGAGGGTTAAAAGAAGGGCATTGTAGGAGCTTAGCGCCGGACAGCTATAGATTCACTTCTTCCCAGTGAAAGGAGACTTGAAAAGAAGATACTTTGTGGTTCCTAAAAGGTAACAAACCTTAAGTGACAGACCTGGACCTGGAAAGGAAGGGCTAGGGTTGTGCTTCGGTTTTGTAGTAGCCTTGTATCCCCGAGGACAAGCAAATTCTGGAATCGAGTCCACCTGGGGTTCCTCGGCTGCAGTTTGCATTTTTTTTTTTGTTTGTTTGTTTTTCTTCTCTTTCCGAAACAGGGTTTCTCTGTGTAACAGAGCCCTGGCTGTCCTGGACTCACTTTGTAGACGGGACTGACCTCGAACTCACAGAGGTCCACCTATCTCTGTTCCTGAGCGCTGGGATTAAAGGCGAGCATCGCCAGGCCCGTCTCCCGCCACAGCTGGCTTATGTGGTTTGGAGTCTTAGTTCAACTTTCCTGTACCCTTATGCCCAGATTGAGAAGAAACTGGAGCCACTGGCACTAGATGAAGATCATCACCAAGACCTGACCCAAAGCTGCCGCCCGCTCACAGGCTGCACCATTTTCTTGGGCTATACTTCCAACCTCATCAGTTCAGGCATCCGTGAGACCATTCGCTACCTGGTGCAGCACAACATGGTGGGTCCACGTTAGGGCTGTGCCCTCAACCTCCTTGGGCTAGTGGACAATAAGGTGGTTCATTTAAGAGAATTGAAGAGGCTCAGAGATTATTTGCTGCTCTGTGGAAGACCTGGGTTTGGTTTCCAGCATCCATATGGTGGCTCACTAATAATGTCTGTAGCTTCATTTCCAGGGATGTAGGCAAAACACTTGTACAATTTAAAATAATTGTGAAAAAAATGCTATAAGGAGATGGATTTTTCTTTTTCTTTTGGTTTTGGACATACTGGTAGTCCTTAATGCCTCAGCCTCCGAGTGCTGGGATCATAGCAGTGTGGCACTTTTTCTGGCTCTGGGTCTACTTTAAGCAGAGGAACAGCTGGTTTGGGTCTGGATGAACTCGGGCTGATGTTAGGAGTGCTGTTTAGGTCAATGGTGTTGCCTGTGACTGCAGGTGGATGTATTGGTGACCACTGCTGGAGGTGTGGAAGAAGACCTCATCAAGTGCCTGGCACCCACGTATCTTGGCGAGTTCAGCCTCAGGGGGAAGGAGCTCAGGGAGAATGGGATCAACAGGTGGGCCCCTGAGTATCGGTGGGGCCAGAGGAGCTGGGCTGAGGATCTGGGTGACTGATGCCTGAATGCCTCCCGTCCCCAGGATCGGGAACCTGCTAGTGCCAAATGACAATTACTGCAAGTTTGAGGACTGGCTGATGCCCATTCTGGACCAGATGGTGTTGGAGCAGAACACAGAGGTAGGGCTGGAAGGCAGGGCTCAGGGAAACTCCCAGAGTGGAGTCAGAAGACATGTGAGGTAATACTGATACTCTCTTCCTCGATAGGGTGTGAAGTGGACACCTTCCAGGATGATCTCCCGGCTTGGGAAGGAGATCAACAACCCAGAGTCCGTGTATTATTGGGCCCATAAGGTGGGTTGGGCGGGATCAGCATTCCTAGGCTTTGGCATGCACTGACTTATTTTGTCTTTGCAGTCACCTGGAGTCTCTATAATTACTCTTAGTCTTCCCAAATTTAGCTGAGGCGTGTCAAGCACAGAAAGGCTAGGTAATTTGTCTATTGAATGAAGGGTTCTCCTAGCTATGCCCCTACACTATTGGGACCACTTAGGTATAGTGCTTAGGAAGTCACTGGGCCTGACCCAGGGTACCATCTCTCAGAGACAGTGGAGGATAATGAGCCACTGCTCAGTGTGCCAGCACCTTCTTAGAGACCCTAATGGTTTTCTTCATGTCTGCCTCTACATGTAAAGCAGAGGGTCATGTCCACCAGAGAAATCAAGCAGCCTGCTCAGGGAGGCAGGAGGGATACCTCTGGGTTGGGGATCAGAGCTTTTCTGGGCTATGAACTGTAGCTGCTAATGGGTCCTATCTCCACACCAGAACCACATTCCTGTGCTGAGCCCCGCACTCACAGATGGCTCATTGGGTGACATGATCTTCTTCCATTCCTACAAAAACCCAGGTTTGGTCCTGGACATCGTTGAAGGTGAGGTGCCAAGGCCCTGGGAGAAGGGGGAGGAGGGCCCACTGAGGCCAAGGCTTGACCTCAGCCGTCTCTCCCAGACCTTCGACTCATCAACATGCAGGCCATTTTCGCCAAGTGCTCTGGGATGATCATCCTGGGCGGAGGTCTGGTCAAGCACCACATCGCCAACGCTAACCTCATGGTGAGTGGGGTAGCCCTTGGCAGGCCATCTGCACCCTCTGTTACGTATGGCATGCTAGGCATGGACAACAGTGGTAGACTAGATGGTCTGGTGGACTAGAATCCCTGTCTTCTTTGGAGCTACGCTGGGGTGAGGCAGTCAGACAGCAGTAATGACATGCAGCGGGAGTGGTGGCGCACACCTTTAATCCCAGCACTTGGGGCACAGAGGCAGGGGGATTCCTGTGAGTTCTAGGCCAGCCAGACCTGTACAGAGAAACCCTGTCTCTATCATACCACCCCAAAATAAGAGACATACTTGTGATGTGACAATTCTAAGGACATAAGTAATGTTAGGCAAGGTGATTGTAGTCCCAGGCACTTAGGAGATGAGGCAGGAGGAAGGCTTGTGCATAGGTCAGAGCCAGCCTGGAATGCTGTGATATGAAAGGAGTGCTGTGCAATAAAAGGCGTGTTGGAACAGGCTTCTGGAAGTGTGACCTTGAGCCTTATGCTTTTGTATGGGAAGAGCATTCTCAGTAAGGGAACAGCCAGTGCAAAGGCACAAACGCATCTGAAGTAGCCAAGGACCAGCTTGGAGTGGCGCCATGAAGATGGCTTAGAGGTTACACTGCAGAGCTAGCTGGGTCTGTGGGACAAAAAGAGGGTTTTGAAATTTGCTCTGCTTGAGGAGGAATGCACATTTGTAGAGCCCCCTGGTGGCTGTGGGAGCAGAGGTAGGTGTGGGCTTCTCTGCACTTGGTTGGTGGCAGCTTCTGCTGAGTGGAGGGTGTTGACAGCGTTTTCTCTTTGATGCCCAGGCTGGTCTTGACTATTTTAATCAAGTATCATCTTGCCTTGCCCTGCCTAGTTTCTGGAAGCACAGGCCTTTGTTAGCATAGCTGGCTTGAATGTCCCTTAACCAAAATGCTTGGTAACACCAGTGTATTGGGTTGGTGTTTTGTTGTTTTATATTTAAAACCTAGAAGGAAATCATGGGCAGGATTTAAACGTGAATGGCATATAGCTTGAAGGTAATTTCATACACCAAAAAAAGACTTAAATTATGTGTATACAGGTATGTCTATATGTATTTGTAAGTAAAGTACAGGTGCCTACAAGTCCAAAGGAAGGCATTGGGTCACCTGGAGCTGGAGTTACATATAGTTGTGAGCCCCCTGACATGAGTTGTGGGAATTGCATTCAGGTCCTCTGTCAGCATGAAACCCCTGAGCCATCTCTCCAGCCCTATACACTCTTCACTTTGCCTGTGGTTTAACTGACTGTCACATGGGGTGCTTAGAAATGGTACATTTTGGTTTAGGGTGGGAAAGCTTGTACCCAGGAGGTGGCTGTCTTGCAAACATGGACAACCATCTGTCCTGTAATGTCAGGCACTGATGGGCCCTTCCTGAAAGGTCTCAAGGCCTTCCTGTGTATCATAACCCAAGTCTCCTCGGTTCTGTTGTCCCTCTGTTTATGGCTTCTGACCTGGCCCTCCTCTGCCCACAGCGGAATGGGGCTGACTACTCTGTTTATATCAACACGGCCCAGGAGTTTGATGGCTCAGACTCAGGAGCCCAGCCGGATGAGGCTGTCTCTTGGGGCAAGATCCGGATGGATGCACAGCCAGTAAAGGTAGAAGCTGGCTGACTGGGGCGCAGGGCCCACGGGCTGTCCCGGGGCTCCCAAAGCTCACTCAGGTTCTCTGCAGGTCTGTGCTGATGCTTCCTTGGTTTTCCCCCTGCTGGTGGCTGAAACATTCGCCCAAAAGGCAGATGCCTTCACAGCTGAGAAGAATGAGGATTAAGAAGACTGTGAAGACTGGGGATTCTTGCCACACCTTTATTTATTAACTTTACATACCAGCCCCTCCCTGAGCCCACTCCTTGGTCAGCAGCATCTCTAGAATAAATGGTCTTTTTGTTGGGTCTTCTGAGTTGGTCTGGGTCCTTGGTGTCAGGTCCATAAGTCTCAGCCTGCTCCACCCTCTGTCTCATAGGTCTCTTCTCGCCAGTACTGGATGCTGCCACCCATGGCAGTCAGCAGGCAGGGTTCCGTGGGATGGTAAGCCAGTGACTGCACCACACTAGAACCCACAGGAAGGGCCAGCACCAGGGCACTCTAAGGAATGAATGGTAGGGACCAATGCCTGTCAATCAGGCTGTCTCCCTGAGATCCAGCCTGAAGTCCTCAGTCACCTGACTTCTTTTGGTGGTGCTGAGAATGCTAGGCAAACCTTGCCACTGAGCTTATACCCTTGGCCCAGAGACTCCCAGCTTTGGACATAGAAAGGCCCTGGCTCAGTCTTTCTTGTGATCCACCTGAAACCAACTGTAGCCACCACCTCCAAGTCCTTTAGCATATGCTGTTCTCTTTGCTTGAAATATCCATCCTGCTTTTCCCTCATTCCTCTTTCCAATTCCAGTTTGGGAGGCAAGATGAATTCAAGCCTATCCTGGGTTACAAAGTGAGACACACCTCCACTCTCCTGCCAGAGGTCCCAGCTCAAATACCTGATGTTACTGCTTTTTTCAGGCCCAGGAGTGTCTGAGGTAAAACATGTAGTTATGTCCTGGCAAGGAATGCAAAGGGAAGGCTCACCTCTACCAGGTCCCAGAAGAACACCTTCCCATCCTCAGAGCAGCTGACCACATGTGTGTCACGCTCGCTCAGGCAGCAGTCCAGCTTGTACTGCTGGTTCTTATGGCCAACATACCTAGCAGTGGGGGTGGGCAGAATCAGGGAGGCTTGTTCTGCCTAGCCTCGGAAGTGGAGTAAGGGGGAAAGGCCAACCATGGAGACTTACTCGCCTAGCAGCTCCCCAGTGTCTTTGTCGAGAAGCCGCAAAGTAGAGTCCAGGCTCGATATCAGAGTGCACTGCCCATCCCGGCTGAAGCAGGTGCAGGTGATGGGGCCTGGGAGACAGCATGGCAGGCAGGTGATTCTAGGTGCTTTTGCCTGTCCCACCCCCTGCTTTGACTGTCCCACTGGCCTCCGGGACCACACTCACTGCCCACGTAGTCTGAGAAGACCTGCCCCATCCTCAGGTCATAGCGCCTCGCACGGCCATCCACAGAGCTGCAAGAAAGGGTAAATCCAGTCTAAAGCACTGTAGCCTTCTGCTCCAGGGCAGCCTGTGTCCTCCTGCATTCCTGGCCATCTAGGAAAGTGAGCAAGGTAAAGATGCTCTGCTTTGTGACTCAGGTTCGGGGGACAATTTCGTCCCACGTAAAGAACCTTCTTTCCCAAACCCAGAGCTCTCCAGAGCCCACACCTCCTGATTGGGACAGCAGTCAACCCTACCTGTCTCTGGGTTTTGCATCTGCACATCTGACCAACTGTAGCTCAGGAATATGCTTTATAATGTTACATGTTTTTTCAAGATAGGGATTCTCTGTGTAGCTCTGGCTGTGCTGGACCTCACTCTGTAGACCAGGCTGGCCTCTCCACATGCACAGCATGCAGACAAACAAACCAAAACCATGTAGTAGAATGTGCAGCCTAAAACTTGCTGTCCCTGGTTGGATCCTGAAGTCAGCCTACTACAGATACCAAAGCAGTTTACATTCTCAGGGTGTGACTCCTTCCGCACCTACAGCACCACCACCATCTTATTTCTTATAGGTATGAAGGCTTTGCCTATAATCCCCAATCCTTAATGCTCAAGCCCCCCACCTCAAGGAGCTTTCCCCCCACTTTTTCTTTTTTTTGAGACAGGATCTCATACAGTCCTGGCTAGTCTCACATTCATTTTGTGACTGAGTTTGTCCTTGAGTTTCTCTCATATGGGAGGATTACCACACCTGGCTCACCAGGAAACTCTGGAAACAGCCACTTCATGCCAGTCTTCCCCTTAAAGAAATACATCCTTTCACTACTCTCAGAAAAATAAATGTCCAGACGCCTCCTGCAGGCCTTCAGACCCTGTTCCTGCCATGCCCCCAGCTTCTCCCATGTGGCCTAGTTGCACTTGCCAAGTTCATCACTTTTGGGACACCTGCTTGCTCTCCCTCTAGCCAGCCACTGGGTGGCTCTAGTCCACTGAAGCTTGCTCTCATCAGGCCTTCAGTGCCACCAATCCTAACACTTCTGCCACAGAAAGCTGCTGACTCACTTCCCTTGTCCCTGGATGTGATTAGATTAGTTGCACTTCTTTCTGTTTTCTTTGTTTTTTTTTTGAGACATGTTTTCTCTGTAGCCCTGGCTGTCCTGGAATTCACTCTAGTTAGCATCAGAGGCCAGCCTGCTTCTGTCTCCTGAGTGTTAAGATAAAAGCCATGTGCCACTACTGCCCAGCTCTATACAGGCTGACCTTTAACTCTTGGTCCCTCTGCCCTGGCCTTCTCATTGCTGTACATCACCACACCTGGTATAGTTGGCAATTAATTATTTTTTGTTTGTTTTTTTGAGGCAGGGTCTCTAGCCCTGGCTGGCCTGGAACTCAAGAAATCCACCTGCCTCCCAAATACTGGGATTAAAGGCATGTGCTACCATGCCTGGGTTCATGGTTGTGTGTGTATATATTCATTTTTTGAATTTATTTGTATCTTACATGTATGAATATTTTTGTCTGCAAGTATGTATGTACATCGTGTGTGTGTGTGTGTCTGGTTCCCTGGGTAGGCCAAAAGAGGGTTTTGGATTCTCTAGAATTGGAGTTACAGATGGTTGTAAGTAACCATGTGGATGGTCAGAATCAAACCTGTGTTTTCTGCAAGAGCAACAAGTGCTCTAAACTACTGAACAATCTTTCCAGCCCTCCATGTGTTGGAGTGACCCACAAATACTGTATTTTCTGGCTATGAAAAAGTGTCCTTTGACTTCTGCTGATACATCTTCCCCATAGTACATATACCTCCCATACAGATGCACATACGCTATTTATTTTTAAAATTTCTTATTTTATGTGTATTTGTGTTTTTGCTTGCATGTATGTCTGTGTGCCGTGTGCATGACTTGTACCTGCACAAGTAGGAAGAAGGTATCAGATCCCCTGGAACTGAAGTTACAGACAATTAATTTTAAGTCATCATATAGGTGCTGGGAATTGAACCTAGGTTTCTCTGCTAGAACAGTCAGTGTTTTTAACCATTGAGCCATCTCTCCATCCCCCATAGTTAACAAAAATACATCTTAAAAGACAAAACTGTGTTCAGCCTTTTGGGATACTTAATGATTTACAGTATGAAGTGTTGCCCAATTATTTGAGCTGGGCCAGGCTTTGTGGTACATACCTATAATCTCAGCACTCAGAAGGCAGAGCTGGGAGCATTGCCACAAGGTCAGCTGCAGGACAGAGCAAGTCCCTGCCTCAAAAACAATACATCCTGGCTGGGGTTCAGCATGGTGGCTCATTCTTTTTCTTCTTCTTCTTTTTTTTTTTTTTTTTTTTTTTTTTTTTTGAGACATGGTTTCTCTACGTAGCCTTGGCCATCCTGGAACTCTTTGTAAACTAGGCAGGCCTCGAATTCAGAGATGCAAATGCCTCCTCCTCCTGAGTGCTGGGATTAAAGGCCTGTGCTACCATGCCTGTCACGGTTCATTCTTCTACTCTCAGCACTTGGGAGGTAAAGGCAGAAGGATTTGGAATTGAAGGACACCCTGAATTATACTGTTTCAAAAAACCAAACCATGGCCACTATGACCTCCAGTTGCCAGGGCAGGAGTGGGGTCCTGGGCCTACTCACCCTGCCAGGATCTCATGGTCTGACACCTTTACACTGGATATGCCATCTCTGGCTTCATCTAGTGTCTGTACTGGTTCAGGCTTCCGAGAACGGCAGTCCCAGCATCGGATACTGGAATCGATAGAACCTGTAAGGCCAACGTGAGGGTGAGGTCAGGTTCAGGTCTCTGGGCAGCAACCAGTTTCTAGCTGTCCAGGTCCCAGACTCACCAGACAGGATGACTGTGGCCTCTTCGTTAAATTGAACTGTGTTCACCTTCTGAGAAACAGGAATGACTAATTTAGAGGACGGGCCTTTCCAAGATTGGGATAAAGGTGTGGTTCCCGGTGCATGTTAGAGCAAGGGCACATGTTACTGGTAGGGAAGGTGAAAGGTTCTGGGGAAACTGGAAGGAAGACAGTGCCCAGTGACTGCTTGGGTATAGGAGATGGTTAGACTGTAACGGAAGGATCTTCCTCATATCACCTACGAGCTAATACGGATCTCCACAATGCACGCGTTAATGAGTCTTCTGGCTTGTACTCACTCCAGCGTGGCCCCGAAATTTGCGCACGACCTGTCCAGATGCCACATCCCACAGCACCACCGTCTTGTCCCCACCACCAGAACAGAGATGGCTGTTGTCAAAGGAGCTGGCAGGCAGGAAAGAGAAGGTCAATATCAACTCATGATCCTAGCCTCTGCACTCCAGGCTCGCCCAGCCTGGCTCCAGGCTCACCCTGCCGCATCCAGCACTTCGTAACCGTGGCCACTGTACGTCCGCAGCAGCGTCCCACGCAGCGGGTTCCACAGCTTTAGGGTTTTATCGCTGCCGCAGGTCAGGCAGTAGTTGCCATCAACTGGGGAACAGAAGGCAAGGGTTACCAGACCGCCGGCCTCAGGTAGCAGGTGGCCCGGGATGAAGACACGGGGCTTACCATTAAATCGCACGGCTCGCACCGCGCCCTGGCCGCAGTCCAGCGTCTTCAACCGTTTCTGCGGCAGCTCCGGGGGCCGCGGCTTTGGCTCAGGAAAAGCCATACTTCAAGTCAGCTGCCCGCAGTGCTACCTTCTGTATTGACACTGTTTTCCTTCCAGGCTTTCAAAAAAATCCGCGGTCGGGTGTAACCTTATTATTGTCCCCAGGATTTATTTCCTGCTTTGCACTTCCGTGTTCAAATTTCAGTGCGTTAAATAAAGTGTTTGGGATACTGAAAGCCCCTTTTAGGTCCCCCCCCACCCCGCTACTTCCTACTTTCCAGGAACGATTCTGGCCTTTTCTTATTCTCCGTTCTCTGGCTGAGAGCAGTCCTGGTCTCCGCCATTGGGAACAGAAGCGCTAGGCTACTGGTGTTACTCTAAAAGCCACCCTTCATTCTCACGCCGGAAGCTGCTGTTCCAGCAGTGAAAGAAGGACGGCGTAGTAGTTTGCTATGTCCACCAACAATATGTCCGACCCACGGAGGCCCAACAAAGTGCTGAGGTGAGCAGTCCAGCAAGACATGGCAAGGCGTCTCTGGTTTTGGCCTTGGGTCCAGGCCAAGTTGGCCCAGGTGGGACTTGATCGCTCCTGACCCTTGAACATGTCGCAGGTATAAGCCTCCGCCGAGCGAGTGCAACCCGGCTTTGGACGACCCGACTCCGGACTACATGAATCTTCTCGGCATGATTTTCAGCATGTGTGGCCTCATGCTTAAGGTGGGCGGGGTTGAATTTCCCTGGGTGTCTGTTGCTCCGCCTGAAACTGAGGCTGGGGGCGGGTTCAGAAAGAGGCGAGTCCGCTTTCTGTGCTGGAGGTGGGGAAGGGGGTTGAGGTCAGCAGGGGGTGGAGCTGGGGTGACGCTCCCCAAATAGGGTAAGTTGGGATTGCAGTTGTTGATGTGTGCTTAGCCAAGCGAGTCTGAGGGTGGAGCCTGATTTTGAAGCGGTTAACAGACCAGTTGGGGGGGGGGGCGGGGGAGGCGCGGTGTTAGCATATGGGAGTGGGGGCTCCTTGGCATACTGCTCACTGATTCGGTCTCCTCACCCACCTTTCTTCAGCTGAAGTGGTGTGCTTGGGTTGCCGTCTACTGCTCCTTTATCAGCTTTGCCAACTCCCGGAGCTCGGAGGACACGAAGCAGATGATGAGTAGCTTCATGTGAGGATCTGGAGTAGGGGACGGGTCACATGCCTGCCATCTGAAACTGACACCTCTTTTCTGTCTCAGGCTCTCAATTTCTGCCGTCGTGATGTCTTATCTGCAGAATCCTCAGCCCATGACACCTCCCTGGTGATGTCACCTAGAGGGGTTGGATCCCGGACCCCTATCCACCTTCTCTCTGGCCTAGCCTTTGACTGCCACCACCCTGCCCTCAGCTGCTGTCCTAAACTTGCCTGAGTATGGTCTCTGGACTCCCAGCTGAATGGAGGGAAGTTGACCCTTTCTTTGAGGTCCTACTTCTGCTTTAACAGAGGAGTAAACCCACAGACTTCCCTTGTATCTTCCCTCCCCTGGCCACTGTTACGGGAAACACTGTTCATGTTTCTAAGTATTCACTTGTTTTCTTGTTGAAACCAATTGATATAAAATTTTCCACTCTGGTTGGCTTGTATTACTTCTCCTTTGTTCATGAGGTGCTTTGCCCAGTTAAAGACCCACATCTCAGTTTTTTTTTTTTTTTATATAGTTAATGTTTGTATTTCACAAACTTCTTGTCTTAGGTTAGGCAATAGGGGCAAGCTAGTTAGTTCCACACCTGGGTGACTGTTGGCCCCGCTATCCTAACTAATCTAGGCTATGATTTTCTGTTTATTTATTTACTTACCCACTTTTTATTTTTGGAGTTCTGGGTATAAAATCCAGGGCTATATAAAATACATGCTACACTGGTACACTACTACAGAGCCATATTTCTAGGTTTTATGATTTTTGTATTGCTATATAGCCCTGGAAGGCCTGGTAATCACACAGTCCAGGATGGCAATATTCCTGCCCCACTCTCCAGCATGCTGAGGTTACAGCTGTATACCAACACACAAACTCTGGCCCTGGGTTTTCTTATTAGAGCAACAGAGTAATGAATAGACCGTTTAGAGCTGGGAAAGGTAGGAAAGACTCGGTGTTCTCTCTTCCTTATAAGGCCCTCCCAGTTCACAGGAGGGTCAGCCTCTGTCCAGACCTGCCTGGGTGCCTCATCCCTGACATTCCAGTGGCAGTTTGTTTAAAGACCCAATCCCACAGGCAAACCAGAACCGTTTTCGACCTCAGCTTCTACCTTTGCTAGGTCCCTTCAGGATCCCCGCCCTACAGAGACTAATACCTAGAATGCCATCTACACTTTCCATTCCGTAGGAAAAGCTGTATCCTTTGCTCACACTCACAAAAAGGCATATCAAAACCCTAGAGCTAAAGTATTCTGCCAAAAAGAGTCCTGGGTGGAATGGGAACAGATCCAACGCTTCCCTGTGCTCCTAAATCCTCAATAATAAACTCTACAGCCACAGGTCTTACATGGCTCAGGCCCTGCCCCCTTCCGCACCGATTGGCTGGTTTGGGTTCTGGGGGCGGAGCTTTCGTGGGGATTTAGCTAGGCTAGGGAAGCGGTGGAAGCAGTGTCGCCGGAACCATGGGCTCCTCGTCGCTGGCCTCTGGTGTCCGTGCTGGTGGCTGGAGCTCTAGGTGGCTCTGGATGAGCTCCTGCATCCTATATTCGCCTGTCCTGCCTGTTTCCTCTCTGTTTTGCTTATTTCTGGCCGTTCCTGGCGCTCGGGCCGCGGACTACGAGGTGAGCTGGGGCTCACGGGAGAAAATTTATTTGGCCTAGAGTTGAACTAGAGGGGTGGGCGGCACTGACTGCTGCGTGCACTGGGTCTCTGAAAATGTCTAGCGCGAACCTGAGAACAGGGTTGAATGTGATTGTGTCCACCGCCCCGTGACTCCTCTTGGCCGGCTTGGACTTTGCATGCACTTAACGGTGATTGTTGGGAGAAGTATGAGCAGCCACTTGCGAACAGGACCCTAAGCTTTGCACAGGTTGTGCTTGCCATGGTTCTACTTAAGTGGTCTTTCAGCTTCCTGGCCCCTTCCATGTGCAAGTCGCCTCTACACCATGCCTCCTGTCCTAGCCTGACAACTAGGCTAATATGGCTCCTCCTCCCAGGGTGGCTGCCTGCTGACCGACCTAAAGTATGAGATCTGTGCTATGGGGCTTGCACAAAGTAGCAACTGGTTCTGTGAGCACAGATGGTAGCTTTTTGACCTCTCTATGTCACTCCAGAGTCAAAACTTGTGTTTGTACCACCTGTCTGCCTGCTTAGTGAGGGTGGAGGTCCTACCTATGGTCTTGAACACGCCAGGCAAGGGTTCTACCTCAGAGCCCCCACCCACCTGCCTCTCAAACTCTAGGTTACTGACAGGAAATGCGTATGTTTTGGGGGTCTCTGTGCAGACGTGTCCCACAGTGAAGCCAGGCATGCTCAATGTGCACCTGTTACCTCACACCCATGATGACGTAGGCTGGCTGAAGACAGTGGACCAGTACTATTACGGCGGTGAGTAGAGAGGTGGGCCTCTAATTTTCTCAGGGACAAGTGTCAAGACCTACCTTCCAGTGGCCCCTCACTGTCTGACCTTCATGTCCACAGTCAAGAATGACATTCAACATGCGTCTGTTCAGTACATCCTAGACTCGGTAATCTCCGCTCTGCTGGCGGACCCCACCCGTCGCTTCATCTATGTGGAGATGGCCTTCTTTTCTCGTTGGTGGAAGGAGCAGACCAGTGCAACACAGGACACCGTACAGGAGCTGGTGCGCCAGGGTGAGCCTGCCCCAAGAAGTGAAAGGAGGAAGCCCAGCCCAGTGTGTACTTGCACAGACCTATGTCTGAGATAGTTTAGGCATTTATGTGCTTATTTATTTGTTTGTGATTATCTATTGGACAGTGTCTTATTACATAACCCTGGCTGGCCTGGAACTTGTATAGATCCTCCTGCCTCCCTGCTTCCCTAGTGCTGGAACAAAAGGCGTGGGCAACCAGGCACCCCTGAGATTTTTATCATATCATAGTGTGCACACACTGTACCCATAGTTCTGCTGCTTAGAATCTCTCTTCGTGTGGAGAACCGTGTCTCACAAGGCCCCCCCTCCAGGGGCTCCAGAGGGAAGCCAGCCATGCAGATCTAAGCACACGGCTCAGAAACTCCCCTTCTGCCCAGGCTTCTGTGTGCAGTGTGGTCTGTTTTCTTAGCTTTGCCCACAATGGCCCCACTCCAAACAGCTACTCTTCTCCCTTGCCTTTCTTGAACAGGGCGCCTGGAGTTTGTCAATGGTGGCTGGGTGATGAATGATGAGGCAGCCACCCACTATGGTGCTATTGTGGACCAGATGACACTTGGGCTACGCTTCCTGCAAGACACATTCGGTAGCCATGGGCGTCCCCGTGTGGCCTGGCATATTGACCCTTTCGGCCACTCTCGAGAACAGGCCTCGCTGTTTGCCCAGGTGCCAGCCATCCTATTCTCTTTTGGACTTGCCCTGAACTTACTCTAGTTCTTCCTTAGCTGCTCAAACCCTGCCCTTCTTTAGTGATCTCTGCGACTAGACCCTGGCTTGTTGAGACCCCACCTCTCAGCTGAATTTGGCTCCTGCGAGTCAACTTCAGCCCTGGTCCATGTCCTAGGGTAGCACAGGTTTAAACTGCTTTGTCTCTGTCCTGCTGGTTTGGTCCCTTCCCTTGATTTGCCCTTATTAGAATTTGGACTCTACCAGCCTGTGAGGATTGAGACTGCTCTCTAAACCAGTGACTGGTGGAGATGCCTTGTTTTAAAACCAGCCCCTTGTCTGTGCTGACCTATCTCACCTGAGATGTACAGAATGGGAAAGCCTCCTCTTGGCTTTGACATAACTAGGGAGGTGAAAGTGGGTTTTGGCTTTAGAGCTGCCTCTTTGTTCCTGACGCTCCTTTTGCTGGGAGATAAACTTCTAGGCTTTGTGTCTCATGCCTGTAGTGCCAGCACTTGGGAGAATGGTTCAGGAGGACTGTGAGCCTGGGGTGAGCATTGTGTGAACTCTGAGACCCTGTCTCAAAAACTCTAGCTTTATTTCTTCTTTGTTTCTTCTATTTGTTAACGCTGGGTGTTCTGACTGCATGTATGTCTGTGCACCGTGTGGAGTGCCCACAGAGGATTGTGGGATCTCCTAGAACTGGAGTAATGGAGGGTGTGAGCCACCATGAGGATGCTAGGTATTGAGTTCTGGTCCTCTGGAAGAGCAGGTAATGATCTTAACCACTGAGCCATCTTTCCATCCCTGAAAATCCTAGTTTTAGTTGTGCATACTTTCTCTGTGCTGTTTTTCCCAACGAGCAAGAAGGCCCTGCACTCCTTTATTCCATCTCTTCTGCACTCCCAGATGGGTTTTGATGGCTTCTTCCTTGGGCGCATTGACTATCAAGATAAACTTGCTCGAGGGCAAAAGCTGAGGATGGAGGAGGTGTGGAGGGCCAGTGCCAGCTTACAGCCCCCTGCTGCTGACCTCTTTACTGGTAAGTGGGTGGGAGAGTAAGGAAGACCTCAAGCTCAGAAGGGTCCCGGTGTGATTTTGTCATATGCTCTGATTATCTTAGAATTTTTAATGATTTTTGAGTGGGGCTCTGTGTTTGTGTGTGTGTTTGTACCAACGCTTTTGATTTTGGAAGTTTATCCTGGGTGAGGCATGGCAGGCTCTGATCCCAGAGCAGGTCTAGCTTACTGAGTCTGGTTTGGTCCACAGGTGTGCTCCCCAACAATTACAACCCTCCTAAGGACCTATGCTGGGATGTGCTATGTGCAGACCCTCCCGTAGTGGAGGATCCAAATAGTCCTGAGTTCAATGCTGATAACTTGGTCACTTACTTCCTGGAGCTGGCCTCTTCCCAGGTAACATAGATATCCAGACCATGTCCATACTGCGCAGGCAGGCACCCAACCTTTCCCTTCTCCCAGGGGAATGCCTCCAGGGGACTTCTCTTTGGGATTTTTCCTTGTTAGAAGGATACATGAGGGGCTGAAGAGACAGCTCAGCACTTAAGAGCACTTGCTACTCAAGTATGAGGACCTGAGTTCGGATCACAGCACCACACAATAAGTATGTAACCGCATACTCCTGTATGAGAGTTATCTGGAGCCCTAGTGCCCAGGGCTGTAGAGACAGGAGGACCACTGGGGCTTCTATTTGGCCTAGCAAAGAAAATGCCAGTCCCAGGTTCAGGGAGAGATTCTGCCTCAAGCAAAGAGGCAGAGGAGAGTAGGAGGAAGCTCTCTTCTGACTGTGCATGTGTGTATATGCACAGGCATCCCTCACACATATTTGTACACACACCCACACACACACACAGAGAGAGAGAGAGAGAGAGAAAGAGATGCATCCCTCACAAATATTTGTGTACACACATACACACACACACACACAGAGCTGCATCCCTCACAAATATTTGAACACACAGAGAGAGAGAGAGAGAGAGAGAGATGCATCCCTCACAAATATTTGTACACACACACACACTCATACACTGAGAGAGAGAGAGAGAGAGAGAGATGCATCCCTCACAAATATTTGTGTACACACACACACACACACACACACACACACACACACACACACACTGAAAGAGAGAGATAAGCATTAAAAAAATAACAGAGATGTGGGGTCAGCTGTAGTGGTGCACACTTTAATACCAGTACCTCGGGGTTGTGTGGGGAAGGCAGTCAGAGCTCTGAGAGCTCGAAGCCAGCCTAGGACTACATAGTGAGAGCCTGTCTGAAAACAAAACAAATAAACAAACCAAAGAGGTGGCCAGTGAGGTGGCTCAGCGGATAAAGGAGCTTGCCGCCATGCTTGACAACTTGAATTTAATTTCCAGAGCCTACTCGGTGGAGGAGAGCAGCGAATCCTGTCAGTTGTTCTCCAACCTCCAAGCTGGTGCTCTAGCATGCATTCCATACCATAGGTCCCTCCCATAGTAAATAAACATTGAGAAGGAGCAGGAGGAGAGAGTGTGGCTCAGTGCCTTGTAACCTCATCTGGGTACTGGACCCTAGAGTACCTCAGCCACTACTGGCTGTTTTTGTTGTTTTCAGACAAGGTCTTATGTAGCCCCAGCTGGCCTCAAAGCTGCTATGTAGGTGATGCTGGGTTTGAACGTCTGCTCCTCCTGCCTCCGTTTTCTGAGTGCTGAGAACAGACAGATGCACACCATGTCTGGGTCAGGCTAGGACTTGGTGCATGCTGGTCAAGCAAGTGCTGGCGGAGCTCCAGCCCCAGCCCTGCACTGCATGCTTTTCTCTTTCCCTCTGCTCCTTTGTGCCAGAGTCCTCGTGTGTTTTGTTGTGTTTGTTTGTTTTTGGTTTGGTTTTCGGTTTCTGTACTGGGCATCTAACCTGTGGTCTCGAGCATGCGTGGTTAGTATTCTCAGACTGAACCATATCCACGGTCCCCACATGTAGTTTTGCACACTTGGGCACGGGGCCGGTCCAGGACACCCTGCCTGAGGATTGCCTTTTCATCTACAGAAACACAATTACCGAACCAACCACACTGTGATGACCATGGGGTCAGACTTCCAGTACGAGAATGCCAACATGTGGTTCAAAAACATGGACAGCCTCATCCGGCTGGTCAACAAGCAGGTCAGTGTGCCTCCCTGTGTGTGTTTCTCAGCTCTCTAGCACTGTCATCATCGCCTGAGATGGTCAAGTAGCAAATGGAAGAGTCAAGCGTAGTGGTGCACCGAGTACTAGGGACACCAAGGATTGCTTAGAGTTGAAGGCCAGCCCGGGAAGACAGAAGGATGTGCGCATGTATACACACAGACACACAGACACACACACACAAGACCTGTCTCAAAAACAAAAACATACACACAAACCCAAATAGGGAAGTTAGTTTTAGTTCGCCCACCCTTCTTTTTCTCTATTTCGTTTTCGTTTTTGAGACCAGGTTTCCTGTGTAGCCCTGGCTATCCTGGAAGTCTCTCTGTAGACCAGGCTGGCCTGATCTGCGTGCTAATGCCTCCTGAGTGCCAGGACTAAAGGTGTGTGCCACCATCCCGGCACAGTTTTGTTTTCTAGAATTGTGGGTGTGGGTGTGCAGGCAGGGGCACATGGCCTCGCTTGTCCGTGGAGGACGATGTTTCATGTCCTGCTTTATTGGTCTGTCTCATTCCCGAGACTTGAACCTAGAGCTAGTCTGGCAGCCAGCAGAGCTGCACTGTCCTCCTCTCTGGGCCCACTGAGTGCTGGCATTCAGATTCATAGGTGGCTATCCCTAGGTTTTCATGTGGGTTCTGCAGATTGAACCCAGGTCATCATACATGTGTAGCAAGTATTCTTACCATAGTCACTTCAGGGTTTTGAGACAAACTTTCCTGTAGGTTAGATTGGCCGCAAGCTCAATGTATAGCTGAGGATGATCCTGAACTCCCGATTGTCCTGCCTCTACCTCCCAAGTGCTGGGATCAAAGGTGCACAGCACCAGAACCATCCTCATTCTTATTTCTGCTTTTCTGTTCCTAGTTTGTTCTTTCTCCTCTTCCTGTCTCCTTCCCCCTTCTCTTCTACTTTCTTTTCTTCCTGCCTCCTCGTGTTTTTCGTCTTAAAAAATTATTTATTCAGTTATTTTATGTGTATTTTGTCTTCATATGTATCTGTGTACCATGTACATGTCAGGTATAAACAAGTAAATCTTACAAACAAACAACTCTTGAAAACGAGAACAACGAGAAACTAGAGAACTCAGAAAGTTGGATGCATGCGGGCCGCGGGAAGGTGCAGATCTCAAGGCTCACACTCCCTTTGCCCCAGCAGCAGGAAAATGGGAGCCGGATCCACGTTCTCTACTCCACCCCTTCGTGTTACCTCCAGGAGCTGCACAAGGCCAATCTCACCTGGTATCTGTGGAGGAGACTGGGGAGTTGGGGTGGGTTGGCATGCTCCGTGGGCTGTGACTGCTCTCAATGTCCCCGTGCAGGTCGGTGAAGGAGGACGACTTCTTTCCTTATGCGGACGGCCCCCACATGTTCTGGACTGGCTACTTTTCCAGCAGGCCTGCCCTCAAGCGCTATGAGCGCCTCAGCTACAACTTCCTGCAGGTGAGTGAGCTTATGGGGATCCCGGAGGCCCAGAGGAGCCTCTTTGCAAAATCTCTCTTTCTCCTCAGGTGTGCAACCAGCTGGAAGCACTGGCAGGTCCCCCAGCCAACGTGGGCCCCTATGGCCCAGGAGACAGCGCACCCCTTAGTAAGTGTCACCTGTCACCCATGGGATGGAGTGGGGCAGGAGAGCGCATGATTGACCCTGGAGACCAAAACCATCCCCAGGGCACACTTGACTTTTGGTGGTGACAGGGATCGAACCCTAGACCTCTTGAATGCTAGACAGCACTGTGCCAGTGAGCAATGAACTACATCCTAAACCTTGAGCTTCTTTCTCGCTTCCTTTCTTGTTGTATTTGTGTTATGTATTTTTGTATGTATGTTTCTGTGCATGGGTATTTGCCTGCATGTAGAGTAGTGTAGTGTGTGCATATCTGGCGCCTTTGGATGCCAGCAGAGGGTGTCAGGATCCCCTAGAACTGAAGTTACAGATGCCTGCGAGCCACCATGGTATGTCGGGAGTCAGAACCCTGGTCCTTGAAAGGTCAGCCAGTGCTCTCAGCTGCTGGGCCACCACTCCAGCCTTCCAGAGCCATTCTTAACTCTCCTAAGAACCCTGTTGGCCTGCACCAGACCCTTTGTGTGTGTGTGTGTGTGTGTGTGTGTGTGTGTGTGTGTGTGTGTGTGTGTGTTTGGCGGGGGCCCAGGGTTGTGTGGGAGTCAGCCTCTGACTGGTGTTGTGTTGGCAGAAGAGGCAATGGCGGTGCTCCAGCACCACGACGCTGTCACTGGCACTTCACGGCAGAAGGTTGCAGATGATTATGCACGTCAGCTGGCAGCAGCCTGGGGCCCCTGTGAGGTGTGAGGGCCAGGCCCTGAAGAAACCGGGAAGGGGCGTGGTCTGGGGTGATGGGTGGCCTCAAGGCACTTGCAGGAGCAGGGAGGAGGAGTGGAGAGCCAGGAGGGTCTTCTTGGGAAAGAAGCGGTGGAGCCTACAGGAAATGGGGCAGAGTATAGATAGGAGAGGTGGGCCCTTGTTAGGGGCACAGCCAGCCTTCCAGGGGTGCAGATCTTGGTGCAGGTCTTTTGGTGATCTTCACCAGGTTCTGGTGAGCAACGCTCTGGCGCATCTCAGCGATTACAAACAGGACTTCTCATTCTGCCGTGAGCTCAACGTCAGCATCTGCCCAGTCAGCCAGAACTCAGAGCACGTGAGTCGGGGCTGGAAGCAGGTGGGGCAAGACCCCAGAAGGCAAAGAGCGGTTGTGTGATTTATTTTTAGAGGGCCGTTCTGGGTGCAGGGAGCTGGGACAGGATAGTCCACCACAGGGGCGAGGCTGGAAGGCCAGGGCTGTGTGGGAAGATGCCCTGCTGGATGGTGGGTGTGGAGGTCTGCTGTGACTATGCCCTTCTGCCGTAGTTCCTCGTAACTGTTTACAACCCCTTGGGGCGGAAGGTGCATCAGATGGTTCGGCTGCCTGTCCGTGAAGGCCTCTTCACTGTGAAGAACCCTAATGGCAAGACTGTGCCCAGCAATGTGAGCTTGTACAGTGAAACCCCCCCCCCACGTGCCCCCGCAGCTTGTGTTGCTCTCCTTGAGTGTCTTCCTGGGACACCTCTGGGTGTCTCCCACCTGTTCCTGAATAGCAGCCTCCTGAGAAACATACCCTCCCACAAGAGACGACCTTCTCAGTGTCCCTACTGGAATCCCCCTTCCTTCCTTCCTTCCTCCCTCCTTTCCTCCTCAACCCTTCCTCCTCCTTCCTTTAGATAGGCTTTCACTGTGCAGCCCAGGTTAGCCTCCAATTTGTGATCTTCCTGCCTTAACCCACTGAGCGTTAAGATTGCAGGTTGGGGTCACTCAGTTTCCCCAGCAAATTTTCTGTTTATGCATAGCCCCTTATCCCCAGGAGGCCTCCTTTTCATGAGTCTCGCACCCATGTCCTTCCCTGCTTTTTTTCTCCCAGACTCCTAGTCTCTGTATATAACTTCACCTCCCCCTTCCTTCTCTCCTTTTTCCTCCTCTCCCTCTCCTTCCCCTGTGTCTTTTTTCTTAAGTGAGGTGTAGGATGTGCTGGGCAAATGCTCTCTGCCCTCTCCCCATCACACTTAGGTTTTCTTCCATCTAGTCCACGCCCTCTGAGGTTGATGCTTGACTCATGCCTGGTTTTCTAAGTGTCTTGGCTGCTGATGGGCATCTTCTTTTACTCAAGGTGCTGATGCTTCCCAGCTCTTATAGTGAGAAGTACCAGTGGGAGCTGCTGTTTTCAGCCTCAGTGCCTGCCCTGGGCTTCAGCATCTACTCTGTGACCAAAATTACTGGCCATAAGTTTTACCAGGAGCGCAGCCTGCAGGCCAGGCCCAGGAAAGCCAGGTCCCATGCCTTATCCATTGAAAATGAGGTGAGACTCTACTTGGATCCCCTTTCTTGCCCCTGTGATAAATTTAAAGTGTTATAAACTACTTGGATTCTGAGTCAGTAGGTTCTGGGTCCTTGGTTTACTGGTTGAGGAGGGTGACCTTTGAGGCCCAGGTTCCTTTCTCGAGCAGTTGCCGAAATCTCCGTCGGCTAGAGATTGACACAGATATGTTAGAGCCCATGGCAGGCAGGTGTTGGGTGGTCAGGGAAGGCTTCTGTGGTGAGGAGACCGTTGAAGCTGGGATTATGTGACAGTTACAGAGCACTTGCCTAGCATCTGCGGAGCCCTGTGTTCTATCTCAGCCCCTCAAAAACGCATAAATCAAGAGCTGGTGTCTTAGTTAGGGCTTTTACTGCTGTGATGAAATACTGTGACCAAAACAAGTTGGGGAAGAAAGGGTTTATTTTTACTTACACTTCCAGGTAACAGTCCATTACTGAGGGAAGTCAGGACAGGAACTCAAGCAGGGCAGGAACCTGGAGGCAGGAGCTGATGCAGAGGCCCTGGCGGAGTGCTCCTTGTTGGCTTGCTCTTTGTGGCTTGCTCAGCCTGCTTTGTTGTAGCATCCAGGGCCACCAGCCCAGGGATGGCACCACGTACAATGGACTGGTCCTGGTGCCATCAATCACTAATTCAGAAAATGTTCTGCAGGCTTGCCTGTAGCCTTCCTATCTTATAGAGGCAGTTCTATAAGGTTCAGCTGAGGTTCCCTCCTCTCAGATGACTCTGGCTTTGTGTTGAGTAGACATAAAAACTAGGTAGCACAGCTGGTGAGATGGCTCAGCAGATTAAGAGCATGCATCGCTCTTGCAGAGAACCCATGTGTGGATCCCAGTTCCTAGGTCCGGCAGCTCGCAACCAGCTGCCTGTAACTTTAGGTTCAGGGACACAATGCCTCTGGCCTTTCAGGCACCTGCAGTGTTCACGCTATTTCACCCTCCCTCAAAATCTAAAAATAGTAAAAGTTCATCTTCTAAAGAGAAAATCCTGACTGGGTGTAGCAGTATACACCATTAATCCTAGGATTCAAGAGGCAGAGGCAATTGGCTTTCTTTGAGGGAAAGACCAGCCTGGTCTACGTATTGCATTTCAGGACAGCCAGGGCTTCACAGAGAAACCCTGTTAAAGAAACAAAACAAAACAAAACAAAACAAAACAAAACAAAACAAAACAAAACAAACAAGAAATTAAGAAAACTCTCAAACCCAGGTAAGTGAACAAAAGAAAAGCAGACTATCTTGAGACTTTGCGTATTTGCTTTGTTGGCTCCTTCATAAAATATACCAAAAAGTGTTCGAGGATGATGGGGACCTCAGCGCCATTTGTCTGTAGCCTGATACTTGGATGGCAGAGCTAGAGTTGGTGGGGCTTGCTGGCCAGCCAGTGTCGTTGAGTTGGTGTGCTCAAAGTTCACTAAAAACTCTGTCTCAAACAAGGTGAACAGCCTGGTCTAAATAGTGAGTTCGGTCTAGCCAGAGCCACATAGTCTAAACCTGGCTCAAAAAATAAGAAACAAAAAATAAGCAGTACGGTAGAGAGCCATTGACACCCAGCCAGCCTTAGTCTCTGGCTTCCACATGCTTGTACAAGAACACACACACACACACACACACACACACACACACACACACACACACGCACACACGCATACACGCACACACGCACACTTGCAGACATACAATAAAACAAAAGTCATATGATATTTCTATAAAGATCAGTAAGTCCATGCAAGTCTCATTATGATATGTTCATTGTTACTATCCAGTGTTTCTTCAGATACTAAAAGAAATAAAAATTGTTTTTTTTGGAGGGGGTATTGACAAAGTCTCAGAAAGCTAAGCCTTGCCTTGAACTTGAGAAGTTCAAAATGACATTGAACTTCTGATCTTCTTCCCTCTTCATCTTGAGTGCCACTGTGCCAGATTGCAGGGTGCTGAGGCTCAGTCCCAGGGCTTCACCATGCTAAGCAAGCACTCTGACAACTGATCTGGGATTTGCTGTTGCAACATGAAAAAATTTCTGTGGGCCACTAAACCTTATGGGTTCTGGCATTTGGCTTATGAGTCAGACGATATATTGGTCAAGCTCTGGAGCAAATGAGGACGGGGATCAATTTCCGATGCCATAGTTGGCCTCTGGTGCTGTGGGGTGAACAGACTGGATAAGTATAGAAGTGGGGGTTTCTGCAAAGGGCCAGGTTAGACCTAGGGGTTCTCGGTGTGTAGAGAAGTGGCCAGGTAGAGGCTAAAGCTGGTGGAAGTAGCTGTTACAGTAGTGTTTGCTTACGGGATCAGGTACAGCTGAGTGAGATGAGGGATGGCTGGAGGAGACGCTTCTTTTTCTGTGCTTTCTTTCCCCATGCAGTACATACGGGCCACATTTGACTCTGGCACAGGGTTATTAAAGAATATTGAAAACATGGAAGAGAAGCTCTCGCTCCCTGTGAGGCAAGGCTTCTTTTGGTGAGGAAGGGCTGCTGTGTCCACAGGGCAGGGTTCACAGGGCTGGGGCTGGGGTGCATGGAGCTGAGGTCCCCTTCCTGACGCTCATTTGCTCTGGTTCTAGGTACAATGCCAGCACTGGTGATGAGCAGAGTTCTCAGGCCTCTGGTGCCTACATATTTAGACCCTGGCAGCTTAAACCACTGCCAGTAAGCCGTTGGGCCGAGATCCGTCTGGTGAAGGTCTGTGACCAGGAACCGTGAGTGGGTTTGGTGGGTCAGAGGTAGGGTGTGGTTGGGAGCTGTTTTATTATAATTCTAAATACTGTGTTATTTATTTGCGTCTGTGTGTGTTTTTGTGTGCACATGTGTGGAGGTTCACGGAGGGAATGTACCACGTGGGGTCCTAGTATAGAGTGTGGGTCATCAGCCTTGGCAGCAAGCACCTTTACCCACTGAACCTCTCTGGTCTCCAAGACAGGGTTTTACTATGTAGCTCAGCGAGCCTCAAAAGTCTTGATCTTGCCTCTGGAGTGCTAGGGTTACAAGAGTGTAATACCATGCCTGGATTTTCATTTTCTTTTTATTGTTGTTTTTGTTTTTTGAGACAGGGTTTCTCTGTGTAGCCTTGGCCTTCCTGGAACTCACTCTGTAGACCGGGATCTCACAGAGAATCGCCTGCCTCTGCCTCCCAAGTGCTGGGATTAAAGCTGTGTACTATCACCGCCTGGTGCTTGGCTTTTCCTTTATGTATGTGAGTAAGACCCCAGGCTCCTCCTGCTGATAGATGAGAGTCACTTATATAAAAGTCTGTCTCAACATGTTCAAATCCATTCCTATCTTTGGAAATTGTATGTGGAAGGTGTGGTAAAATCTAATTGCTTAAGAGTTCACCAATGTCTATAAAGTGGGTTTGTATCTTGGAATGTAGTTTAGATCACTTGAATATGCATTAAGGCCTGAGTTTTAGGTCCATACCACCACAAAAGAGAGGAGCTATGGCAACAGCACTTGGATAACTGGGGCAGGAGCATCTCAGTTAAAGGCTAGGCTATGTAGTGGAGCTCTCAATCTCTCTCTCTCTCTCTCTCTCACACACACACACCCACACCCACACACAGACATATTTGTAAGTGCCCAGGCTTACTTATGGGCCAAAGTCACCCGATATGGCTGAGAGGAATTCAACCAGGCCAGGTTGGAGGGGCCACAGCACCATTGAGGCGGTGACAATTTTATTGAGAACAATCACACTTTTTATACCTTAATCAGAAACAGAATATAATGGCAGTTGCCAGGATCAATACAGTTCTAGTTGTCAGGATACAATGAAGTTTTCAAGCTATACAGGATACTCAAGATTAGTGTCTAGGACCAATTGTCCTGTCAAGCTTTTATGCTTCCTTGGCTACTAAGGGAGCATACGGAGAAACACAAAGAGGCCTGAACACTTCACTGCTGGAGGGAGTTATTGGTCTCTCAGGAATGGGAAGGCACATTGTGTCCCAGGATCCATGGACTCTACCCTAAAAAACTTTATGACACATGCTTCTCAACGCATCTAGGCCAGGCCAATTCCATGGTTCTCTATGTGTGCATATACATAGAGATAGCAACCAGAACATTTATATGTGGGTTGTTAAATGACTACTAATATTTAATTTTGACTTATATTTTAGTAAAGCAGTGGTTATTCTCTAACCAGCAATATACCTGAATAGCCACACAAAGAGAGTAGGATTTATTTAATTAGCCCTAAGCATAATTCTGCACAATAACTACTCCATTCTAAACCTCTAAGCTAGTATAGCTTCCCATTGAGATTTCCCACATTATGCTTGCTTTTTAATCATATCCTAGGTCCGGTTCATTTCTCCTGATGTCTTCCAGTCCTCTCCTCATGGATCCATTCCCTCCTTCCTATCCTCCTTCCCTCTTCAACCTAGGTGTCCCACCCTGTCCTCTGTATCTCTCAGCATTGGCTAGTTGACTTTTAATTAGCATTTCAGAGAACAAATGGTAGCATGTTTACATAAACTTGAGAAAAGAGATACTTAGAATAAACCTGACAGTGCAATGTCTAGATTGAAACCAGACAGTATGGTAGAGAAATCAACATTTGAATGAACAAGCATAAACTGTACACAGTCCACAAGAACATTTTGCCAATAATCGGTGGATATTTGATAATTCACACTTAATTTTCTTGAGAATCTCAGGTGTCCCCCTGGTTATTTTCTGATGTGTCCTTCTAGGAAAAGGAAAGGAGTAGAACAGGCTTATGAGGCTCATATTTGATGTGATTCCCCTCTAGGTGAGTACTACATACCTATTTTAGAATATGGTTTGGGCTATTTTAAAAGAGTTATACAAGTTAGGCATGCTTACAGCAAGATGAGATTCTTTTCTTCTGGGTCATGCATGGTGTTTCAGCACTGAGAGACAGGTAGGAAGATCTCTGAGTCTGAAGTCAGCTTCGGATATATAGTGAGACCCCCATCTTAAAAACCAAAACCCTCAAAACCCACCATCACCACAGTAACCAAAACACACAAAAACATGAATAAAAGTTAGAAAAAGATTTTTTTTCTTTTAACAGAATGTTTCACTGGACATCCAGGAAAGGTGGAAGTCTCACATTTGCCAAAATTTCTTCTGTCTTGTTCTTGTCCCTCTAACTTCTTTAATGTTCAGCCTGTCTCATGGTCTAAGATAAACACCCAGGCTCCAGCCTTTGCATCTGTATTGCCAATGAGAGGGAAATGGTCAAGAACATGGTTCATACTACCTTGATCATTTTCCATGGCAGATTTTGGCCATACAGTCCTGATAGCCACAGAGAAGGCTAGATATGTGAACTAGAATCCTGTTCTAAGGAGGGAAGGCGGGGCATGGCGGATAGCAAGAATGTATGGATCCAGTCCAGGGCTGTGTGGCCTGTTGGGCATGGTAGCACAAGCTTGCAATCCCAGCACTGCAGAGGCTGCAGGATCTAGCTTTTCAGCTTTGACTGCCTACAGAGTTTGAGGTTAGCCTGATGTGCTTGAGATCTCAAAATAAAATAAAAAATAATTATGAGGGCTGGCCAGGCTCTAGATTCCAGAAGCAAAGGTAAGGAGTAAAGGTTGGGGGTGAGGTTGGTCGGAGGAGCTGGTGAAATGGCTCAGTGGGTAAAGGTGCTCTCCATCAAGTCTGGCCACCTGTGTTCTATCCCTGAAGTGTACATGGTGGAAAGGAGAACCAATTCCTGCAAGTTGTCCTTTGGGCTCCACAAAGCAAAGCAAAACCCAAGAGTAGTGAGAACATCGCATTGAGATAGTCTTGAGAGATGGGTGTTAGTGTAAATTTTGGGGAGGATTCATAGTCAGTTGACATTTTTTTTAAACAGGGTTTCCCTGCATAGCCTTGGCTGTCCTGGACTTGCTCTGTAGACCAGGGTGGCCTGGAACTCACAGAGATCCTCCTGCCTCTGCCTCCCCAAGAGCTAGCATGAAAGGCATGTGCCACTACTCCTGGTTGCCAATGTGGCATTTTTATCCTGGCTGACACAAACCATCCTGTGTACCCACAGACAGCCTTGGTGCAAGAGGTGCACCAGAATTTTTCAGCCTGGTGTTCCCAAGTGGTTCGCCTGTACCCAGGACAGCGTCATTTGGAATTGGAGTGGACAGTGGGACCAATCCCAGCAGAGTAAGCAGCATAAGCCTTTCTGTAATGGGGAGCAAACATGGACTGGTGTTTAGGAGGAACTCACAAGGTAATTTTTCCATTGACTACAGAGATCACTGGGGAAAGGAAGTCATCAGCCGCTTTGACACCCCAATGAAAACGAAGGGACAATTCTACACTGACAGCAATGGCAGGGAAATCCTGAGGAGGAGGTGGGAAAGGGCATGATGGGAAGTCTGTGATGACATGAGTATGGGAGGATGAAGAGGAAGCAGGACCCAATTGTGATTACATCACATTCTTTCCAGGCGTGATTATCGACCCACATGGAGATTAAATCAGACTGAACCAGTGGCTGGAAATTACTATCCTGTCAACACTCGAATTTACATCACGGTACCTGCCCTGCTACTGCCTCAGACTAGCAGGCATCTCCCAGATACCTGGGGCAGGGTGGGCTCCCAGTCAGGCCCTGCCTTCTCAATCCTCTTACATGTAGGATGGGCACATGCAGCTGACCGTGCTGACCGACCGCTCCCAGGGGGGCAGCAGTTTGAAGGATGGCTCATTGGAGCTCATGGTGAGAGGGGAGCCCCATCCAAGCTGGGTTCTCCCATGGGGCCCACCCAGACCTAGCCAAGCTGGCAGGCTGTTGTTGGTACCTGTTCTCTGCCTGTGGCCTTGGTCCCACGCTCTTCCCTTTTCCTCCCTTGCTCGTGCTGGGATTAAGGAGGGCCTGCATCACTATGCCTGGTTTGGGAATTACGTTTCTAAGTTCCACTTTGCCTTTTATGCAGTCCCTATTCCGGCCTTGGCTTGTCCTGTGGCAGTGCTCTTCTGAGGCACTTACTTTTCTTTGTCTTGGGCATTTGTCAGTTGGGTCTCACTTTGCTGGGGTCCCCCGCCAACCCCTGACCTTTGTCTCTGTTGTTTATTCTTCAGTTTCTGTTGGAATCCCTGCAAGTCTGTAGCCAACTTCTAAGCTGGGTCACTTGCTAGAAGCTCACTCTCTGCTGGCCGCTCCCCACAGGTGCACCGGAGGCTGTTGGTGGATGATGATCGAGGAGTAGTGGAGCCCCTGATGGAGTCAGGAACCGGGCAGAGGGTGTGCGGGCGCCACCTTGTGCTTTTGAGTTCTGTTAGAGAAGCGGCTGCAAGGCACCGGCTGCTGGCAGAGAAGGAAGTCCTGGCCCCTCAGTTGGTGCTGGCTCAGGGCGGGGGCCGTCTGCATCACCCCCAGGCGGCACCAAGAATTCAGGTGAGGGACAGCGAGGCTGGCAGAAAGGGAGACCTGGAATGGTGCCAACTGAGCCCCTCTTTTCAGGAGTGAGTTCCTCCTCAGTGTAAGCATTTCCCCTTCAGGAGCTCCACCCTGTTGTAAGCTAGAGGCTTCAGCCCTGAGTCTCAGCTCAGTGCCCCTTCCCATTCAGGGTCAAGCTTCATTTCCTGCATGTCAGCGCTGACGGCCAGCCAGGCTCTGACTGTCCCCTGGACTTAACCCTTCTTTTCTGCAGTTCTCCGGACTCCGCCAGGACCTCCCTCCGCAGGTGCATCTGCTCACGCTGGCCCGCTGGGGCCCAAAGACGCTGCTGCTGCGCTTGGAGCACCAGTTCACTGTGAGAGAAGACTCAGGTCGAAACCTGAGCGCCCCTGTAACCTTGAACTTGAAGGTGAGGAGGGGCTGAGCTGAGAAAGACAGGATAGAGGCAGGCAAGACCTGAGCTTGGTGGATCAACTGGATCCATCCGTTCCCTGCAGAACCTGTTCCAGGCCTTCACCATCACACACCTGAAGGAGACCACACTGGCAGCCAACCAGCCCCTGTCCAAGGCTTCCCGGCTCAAGTGGATAACGAATACTGGTGAAGACCTGGGGCTGGTAGCTGAGAGTGGAGCGTGAGGAATGCTGGCTAGAATGGGGTAGAGTTTGAGGACAGGGTGCTAAGAACGCCCTGTGGTCCAGAAGAGCAGCAGTGCAGCTGGAGTGTGGGGCATGGGTTTTTGTCTCGAGGATTGTGGATGGTGTATGTTACCTTTGGGGATCTGAGAACAGTGATTAGGAGCCGGGGAGGGTTTGGTGTTTGGATATAAGGAAGGGGTTTAAAGGTACTGGGTGTGAGGTCCTGGGGCAGCGTTGTGAGGTGAGAGTGTGTGGTTGTGTTCAGGCCTCTGTTCTCTTCTGCCAATCACCAGGTCCCATCTCCTACCCTGCTGCCTCCAAGTTGGACCCTACCTCAGTCACCCTGCAGCCTATGGAAATACGTACCTTCCTGGCCTTGGTTCAATGGCGGAAACTCAGCTAGGTGTGCCAGGAGGAGGCCTTCTTTTGCTGTAACCACTCACAAGAATCATTAAAAAGCTCTACTAAGACCCTGGTCACCCAGTAATTGTGCATTATTTTTGAGGAGGAGACATGACTATGAGATTAGGGAGGTCAGCAAACTGTAGCTCAGCCCTGCCTGGAGGTTACCTCCCCACTGGAGTGATCACCCCAGCCTCCTGTTCTCTCCCCAGCTCCCTGTTCATTCAGTTAGGGTCTGTGAATCACTGAAGAAAGACCCCAGACTCAGATGGTATGCAAAAACAAAGAGTGTTTATTCTGCAGAGAATTCCAGCATGCTGGGGTTACCACCTTCACAAAATGGCAGCAACCATGATTGGAGGTCTGGCTCCTTTTAAAGCCAGAAAGGGGAATTTCTACTGTGGCTCCATGACCCCAATTTGGATTGGCTAATGTCCATGGAGGGTATGTGACTCTGGCCGGGACTGGCTGGTGCCCAGGGAATTAAGTCTTCTCATTTAACGGGGCTCTCCATGAATATGCTTCTCCAGAATTAAAACAATTTATGTGTATGTATAGCACGTTTGTGTCTTTGCTCATGCATCACACATATGTGCATGTGGAGGCCAGAGGACAACTTGCAAGAGTCATTTATCTCCAGCATGTGAACAGCAGGGAACTTGTCAGAAAGGAGGTATGAACCTTCACCCACTGAGCCATCTCATGTGGCCCTGTTGTTGTTTTGAGACAGGTTTCCTGAATCCCAGTTTGGCCTTAGATTTACTACACACCTAGGAATGATCCTCCTTCTTGCAATTCATGAGTACTGGAAATAGTTTTAGGTTCTCCACGACAGGGAGACTGATCATGATGGTCAAGGTGGAGAAGGTCAGGGATACCATGACTCTTGCTGAGCTGGGTGGTGGTGCTGCATGCCTTTAATCTCAGCACTCAGCAGGCAGAGGCAGGTGGATCTGAGTTTGAGGCCAGCCTGGTCTAAAGTGAGTTCTAGGACACCAGGGCTACACAGAGAAAACTTGTCTCAAAAAAACAAAACAACAGAATTTCTTTGCTGAATATAGTCTCCCACATGGCAGGTCATTGTTAGATGCCACACAATCCCAAGGGTCTCCTGGAAGCTGAGATCATCTTAAGCCATTCACAGTAACTGGCCTATGGAGGCTCTGACCAGGCAGTATCTCTCAGTACAGGTCCTGTACTTCACACAGTGACCACCTCTGTCCCTGGATCTGGGGTGGCCGTGTGCATGGCACCAGATCTACCTGGAAGCTCGTGGCCAAATTCTAGGAAGCTGGTAGCATGGGATGGCTGTTCAGATTCCTCCCTCTGATGGTTACTGCAGGCCCAAGTAGAGAGGCATGTGGATCTTGTGCTGGCTGTCCCACTGTGGGCTAGCCTATTCCCACCTGCTGCCACTCCACCGTGCCTGCCGAGAATTTCTGTCTCTAGAAACAAAAGTCCCTGACCCTAGTCCTGTACTGCAGGCAGGTCACTTTGACTCAAGTTCTTTTTAAAGGAAACCTTTGAGGATAGACATGTATCAATAATTTACTGATGCCCATGGTAAAAGGACCCTTCTGGAACACCTCCTCAAGCAACCAACATGAAAAGACAGCAGTTAGGGAAATGTCCCCTAGACCTAAGGGGTATGTGTGTTTTGAAGAAGAATGGCTCCCATAGGCCCATATATTTGAAGGTCTGATTCCTATTTGATAGAACTGTTAGGGAATGATTAGGCTGGGAGGCCTTGTTGAAGGAAGTGTGTCACTGGGGCTGGGCTGATATCTCAAAAGGCCACTCCAGGCCCAGTGTCTCCCCAGTGTGAATGAGATGTGAGCTCTCAGCTACTTTTTCAGTGTTATGCCTGCTGCCATTCTCCCCACCATGCTGATCATGGACTCGCCCTCTCAAACTGTAAGCAAGCCTCAATTAAATGTTTTCCAGGAAGTGTGCTGGATAGTTTTATGCCAACTTTTGACACAAGCTAAAGTCATCTGGGAGGAGGGGGCTTCAATTAAGAAAAGGCCTCCAGCTGGGCAGGGATGGCACAGGCGTTTAATGTCAGCAGACTGACCTCTGAGTTGGAGGCCAGCCTGGTCAACAGAGTGAGTTCCAGAACAGGCAAGACTAAACTGAGACCCTATCTAGATAAAAGCAGAAAAGGAAAGAATATGCTTCCATAAGAGGTTGTGGGCAGGCCTGTAAGTCATTTTCTTATTTAGTGATTTCAATCTTCACTTCTCCACCTCAGGTACTGTTCCACTCTGCTGGCAGATACCGGCAGTCCATCCCACTGTGGGTGGTGCCATTTCTGGGCTCATGATCCAGGGTTTTATAATGAAGCCATGAAAGCAGCACTCCTCCATGGACCCCTCCTGCATCAGCTCCTGCCTCCAGTTATCTGCCCTGGGTTCCTGCCCCAATTTCCTTTGATGAGACAGTGATACTGAAGTGAAAGCCAACTAAATCCTTTTCTTCCCCAACTTGCTTTTTGGTCATGTTTTACCCAGCAATAGAAACCTTAACTAAGACACAAAGTGTAAGACAAACCCTTTCTTCTCCTAAGTTGGTTTTGGCCCGTGTTTTATCACAGCAATGAAAAACAAACCAAAACATGCATTTAAATGCTGAGACAGGCCTCAATATGGTGCATCTTTTTAAGTGTATGCATGCATGTGACTCCAAGTGCCTTTGGAGACCAGAAGAAAGTGTCAGATTCTGTGGAGCTGAAGTTTACTGTGGCTGTGAGTCACCTGATATGGGTGCTAGGTTTGAACTTGTTGGGAGAGCAACAAGCATTTTTAAATCTAAGACATCTCTCCAACCCCCTAAATGCTCTTCTTGGTTTCCAGTTGGCAGCACCATTTGGGGAAGATTTAGGAGTTGTGACATTGCTGGGGGAAGTATGTCCCTGAGAGGGTAAGGGCTAGCTCTGCCTGCACTTGGCACTCTCAACATGAGGGCTCTCAGCAGCCTGTCTCTGCTGCTTGCTTTGTTACCACGCTTCCCTGCCATGATGGACACTTACTCTGCTGGAACTGTAAACTAAAATCTTTCTTCTGTAAGTTACCTTGGTTGCAGTTTATCACAGCAACAGAAAAGTAACTAATACAACAATGCATATTTCTTTCTATGGTCTTATATTTTAAAGATTTTGTATGTATTATTTACAGATTCTCTTTTACACACACACACACACACACACACACACACACACACACACACACAGGCTTGGGGTAATGGCACACACTTTAATGTCACTTGGGAGGCAGACAGGTGCATCCTGTGAGTCCAATCTGGTCTACATAGTGAATTTCAGGCCTGGCAGGGCTACATCAAACAAAAGCATGCATATATATCAGAAACAATGAAATGCTGATACAAATGTTTCCTCTTCATGTTGAAACTTGTGGCCCATCTTATGTGAGTTACCCATCACACTGCAGTTAGTTTCCTGTATTACTTACAAGCATGAGATTTTTCCACAATGGAAAATTTCACAACAAAAAGTATTTATTAAAATTGAAAATTCCTCATTCATTATGTCTCCCTATCATGTATTTGCATGTTTGTTGAAGGATGTGGACAAAGCAAAACAGCCTTTTCATGATGCTTACGCTAAAATCACTTCTCTCCACTGTGACTTCTTTCATGTCTCTGAAAGGAACTTCGAAGGCGAAAGGCTTTCCCGCATTCTTTACATTCATACGGTTTCTCTCCTGTGTGCATTCTTATGTGCCCTTGAAAGCTTGTAGGATAAATGAAGGTTTTCCCACATTGCTTACATTCATAGGGTTTCTCGCCTGTGTGAGTTCTCTCATGTATCTGAACATAACTTGAACAACTAAAGGTTTTGCCACAGTGTCTACATTCATAAGGTTTTTCTCCAGTGTGGGTCCTTTCATGTGTTCGAAACGCACTGAGGAAAATGAAGGCTTTTCCACAGTCCCTACATTTATAAGGTCCATCTCCAGTGTGTGTTTTGATATGTCTTCGAAAGCTTTCAAGAGAAATGAAGGCTTTTGCACAGTCCTTGCATTCATAGGGTTTTTCTCCAGTGTGATTTCTTTCGTGTGCACGGCAGTAATTGAGACAAATGAAGGCTTTCCCACACTCTCCGCATTTATAAGGTTTCTCTCCGGTGTGCACACGCATGTGTACTCGGAAGGCTGAGTGGGCACTGAACGCTTTCCCACAGTCCTTACATATATAGGGCTTCTCTCCAGTGTGAGTCCTTTTATGAATCTGAACGGAAGTGGAGCATCTGAAGGCTTTCCCACATTGTTTACACACGTACGGCTTCTCTCCAGTGTGAATTCGCTCATGTACACGGAGAAAACATGGACGAAGGAATGCCTTCCCGCAATCCTTGCATTTATAAGGCCTATTGATAGCCCCACTGTGCGTGACCATGTGTGTCTGGACACTTGTGCGGGAAATGAAGGCTTTCCCACACTCTTTACATTTGTAGGGTTTCTCCCCAGTGTGAGTTCTCTCATGGATCTGGATGGAACTGGGACAACTGAAGGCTTTCCCACATTTCTCACACACATAAGGCTTCTCTCCAGTGTGAATTCTTTCATGAATTTTAAGAGAACCGGGAGAACTGAGGACCTTACCACAATGCTTACACTGGTAGCGTCTCTCTCTGACGTGCGTCTGTTCGTGCGTCTGAAAGGGCTGGTAGTAGATAAAGGCCTTCCCACAGTGCTTGCACTTGTAGGGGTTTCCCCCAGCGTGAGTCCGCTCATGCCTCTGAAAGGGTTTGAGGTAACTGAAGGTGGCCCCACACTCCTTACACTTGTGTCTTTTCTCTCCACACTTAAACCCGTCAAGTTCATGTCCAGGGTGAGATCTGATGTGCCTAGTAAGGGATGAATGAAGCATGAAACCTTTTCCACATATGCTACAATTATATGGTTTCCCTCCAGAAGTTATTTTGGTTACACTAATATTTGGAATCTGGCAGAAGCTTTCTCCACGCTGAGTAACTTGTTTACTTTCATAGAGTCTTTGTATCACAAAACTTCTGCAAAAAATTAGAAGCACATTAATAGTTGTTTGTTATTTAATGTTCACTAATATGTATCAGAATTACATTTTCGTAGCCAGGACATAGTATACCTCTAATCCTGGCACTTGGGAGGCTGAGGCAGGAGAATCACAAATGTGAGGGCAGTTAGTGTTACAAAGCAATGCTCTATCTCAAAAGAAAGACAAAAGCTATGTTGGTAGTGCCTGCCTGTAACCCCAGCATTTGGAAAACTGAGGAAGGAGGACTGTTACGAGTTTGTGGTCAGCCAAGGCTATACAGGAGACTCCTGTCTCAAAACATCAAACCAGGACCTAGAGAAATGGCTGCAGCTGAGAGCACTTCCTGCTCTTATAGGCTTGTTTCTTATCATCTATAGGTTGCTCACAATCTCCTGTACCTCCGGTTCCTGGGCACCTGATGTCGTCTTCTGGCTCCCAGGGACCATGTGGTGCACACAAATTCAAGCAGGTAGACATATCCATAAATACCACTATTTCTACTACTACTAAACCCCAAACCAAAAAAAAGTATAATAACAAAGAGTATTAATATGTTGTTTTTTTTTTTTTTTTTTTTCCCAGTAAGGGTTTCTCTGTATAACCTTGGCTGTCCTAGAACTCACTCTGCAGACCAGGCTAGCCTCAAACTCACAGAGATCCACCTGCCTCTGCCTCCTGAGTGCTAGGATAAGGGGCATACACCACCACTGCCCTGCTTATATGTGGTTTCTTATTGCTGTTTCCAAGTTTAAATTTTTTTTTTTTGAGATAGTCTTATTATGCAACTAGCTGGCCTTGTATTCACTACATAGACCAGGCTAGCTTTGAACTTATGATGGTTCCTCCTGCCTTTAATTTATGATGAGCCTCCTGCCTTTGCCTTCAAAGTGCTGGGATTACAGTATGCACCACTTGGTGATCTGAATAGGTCTGGCCTTCACAGATTCATGTGTTTGAATGCTTGGCCTTAGGGCATGGCACTATTAGGAGGCATGGCCTGGTTGGAGGAGGCGTGGCCTGGTTGGAAGAAGTGTGTCACTACATAGGGTGGCTCTGAGGTCTCTCAGGTTCCACCAGTGCAGAGGAAGACAGTCTCCTCCTGGCTGCATCCGATGCTATGCTTCCCACCATTATGATAATGGACTGAACCTCTGAGACTGGAAGCCACCCCAATTATATTTGCCATTTCAGAGTTGCCTTGGTCATGGTGTCTCTTCATAGCAATAGAACCCTAACTGAGACAATTACCATACCAATAAAATACTTAAGTGTTTACTATCTGTGTCATTTAAAATACTTTTGGCAAAAATTTTAAAGAAAACCATATATGAGTTTCTTTTGGCTGCCTATTTTCAAGCTGTAGTAAAAAATGGAACATGTAGGAACACTCTGCTTTCGTTGGTGTGGAAACTCACCTTACATTTTTCTCCTGGATTCTGTACCGATTTGTAACATCCTGGTCTTCCAATGCACTCCCTAAAATGTGAAACCAGAAAACCATGATAAACTTAGAAATTACAGCAGTCTTTTTCAGGTTTTAGGTCTGAAACAAGCTCATAATGCCTGATTTATACCAATGTATACAATGTATACCAATTTATTATCAATGTATACCACTTTTTACATTCTAACCATTCATTCATTCATTCATTCATTCATTCACTGTATATGAGTGTTTTATCTGCATGTACACTGCATGCCAGAAGAGGGCATCAGATCATATTATAGATGGTTGTGAGCTACCATATAGTTCCATTCTAACTCTTAAAACAGTGATGGTGAGCAGAAACTGCTGTCATTGGGCTTGGCTGCACAGGCCTTTCATCCCAGCACTGGGGAGGCAGTGGCAGGCAGATGTCAAAGCCTGCTTGATCTACATTAATAAGGTTAGCCCAGCTGGGGACACAGTGACATCTTGTCTCAGACAACAATCCCAACAACAACAACAACAAAACCCCTTGACATATAATTAACTAAGTGAAGGTAATGGATCATCCTTACCCACAGAGGCCAGGCTCCTCAATGTTTCCCACATCACATCTCTGTAGAGTTTCTTCTGTGAAGGATGCAGCAGAGCCCATTCTTCCTGAGTGAAATTCACACACACATCCTCAAAGGTCACTGAATCCTAAATATTCCACATGTGTAACAAAGAGTAAGATCAATAGGGCTGGGGAAATCTATATTCAAATCAGTAAATGCACACACAAATCTTTTATTTTTTTTCCTCTGCAATACTGGGGACTGAACCCAGTGTCATACACATTAGGAAACCTCTACCAGTGATGTAGCCTATCCCAACGTGGATATACCATAGTGTGGGCTCCCGACAGTCACTACATGGCTTGATTATTAGTTTCACTAATCAATCAGACTGAGTTCTGTAAGTTTAACAGCATCTAGAAAGCATGAGCATACGTTACATTTTTACTATGGCAACTGCACAATTATTTTTTTTACAACTCATTTAATTTGTTTTTTGAGACAAGACTCTCAAGCAGCCAAACAGGCCTCAAATTTGCTATGTAGTGAAAGAACTCCTGATCCTCCTGCCTCTACCTTCCAAATGCTGGGATTAAAGGTGCATGCTCCCACACCTGGCTATTTATTTATAGACAGGGTCTTACTCTATAGTTCAAATTATCTGTAAGACGTGATTTTCCTACCTCAGCTTCCTCAATGCTGTGATTAAAGGCCATTTTTTGGCTGTCACTGTAAGTCTTACTAGTCTATAATGATAGCTCAGCAGGAAGAAATGATATTTTTCATCATTTTTTTTGTGAGAAAAATTCATTCCTTATTGTTCATAATGCTCAATACTTCTTCCTTAGACTCCTGAGGGCTGAGATACAGATATTTGTCATTATGTCTGAGTCTAGGATGAGGATTTAATGAACAAGTTACGCACTGACGATCTGCAAGTTCTCCCCGCCCCCATATTCCCTTCATTATACACAAGATGCCAGAATTCTTAAAAAAAAAAAAAATCCAATTTGTGAGGAGGTACAGCTCAATACACTGTCCTACCCAAGGTACTCAACGATATTAGAAGCACTGTGATTCTGCTGGCTCAAAGCATCTTCTTCTCTCCCCCAGTTCTTTTGTGTGTGACAGGCTCTCATGTACCCCAAGTGAAGCTCAAATTCACTGAAGCTGAGGGTGATCTTGAACTTTATTACTTTGTTGTTGTTGAGACAGGCCTCCCCAGAACTGGAGACCAAGTGTCCAAATACCCGAGACATTTCTCATTTAAACTACCACACTGGATTTGCACATGTGCCTCAGCAAGTTTGCGGAAGCCAGAGGACAACCTTCAGGAGCTGGTTTTCTCCTTCCACCAGGCAGGTTCTAAGAACCATTAAGCTGCTTGTATGTGAGGTCTCAAACTTCTTTCTGGAGGCACTTAGTGCTATGAACTTTTCTCTCAGCAATGCTTTCGTTGTGTCCCATAAGTTTGGGTAAGTTGTGCCTTCATTTTCATTGAATTCTAGAAAGTCTCTAATTTCTTTTTTAATTTCTTCTGTGTTACATTTACACAATGGAATACTACTCAGCAACTAAAAACAAGGAAATCATGAAATTTGCAGGCAAATGGTAGGAACTAGAAAAAATCATGCTGAGTGAGGTATCCCAGAAGAAGAAAGACACACATGGTGTATACTCACTTATAAGTGGATATTAGATATATAATATAGAATAAGCATACTAAAATCTACACACCTAAAGAAGCTAAGCAAGAAGGAGTACTTGGGTAAGATGATCAATCCTCACTCAGAAAGGCAAACAAGACAGACACTGGAAGAAGAAAGCAGGCAACAGGACAGGAGCCTACCACAGAGGGCCTCTAAAAAACTCTACCCAGCAGGGTATTGAAGCAGTTGCTTCATAGCCAAACTTTGGGCAGAGTGCAGGGAATCTTATGAAAGAAGGTGGAGATAGAAAGGCCTGGAGAGGACAAATAGAGCAACAGAACCAAAAAATCTGGGCACAGGGGTCTTTTCTGAGACTGATACTCCAACCAAGGACAATGCATGGGGATAACCTAGAACCCCTGCTCTTCCAGAGGATCTGGGTTTGATTTTCAGCACTCATGTGGTAGCTTACAACTGTTTGTAATTCCAGTTCTAGGGGATGTGGTGCCTTCTGGCCTCCCCAAGCACCAAGCATATACACAGTTCACAGACATTTATGCAAGCAAAACACCCACATACATAAAATAAAAATCTTTAAAAAAGAAAAGAAAAAAAGAGCTAGGAGTGGCAGTGTACTCTTATATAACAAACCTATACATAGTCAGTGATATATTTAATGAAAACCGACTGAGTACTTCCTCTAAAATCAGGAGTGAAACAAAGATGTCCATTCTCCCCTCTTATTCACTGTAGTGTTTAGAGTCACAGCTATAGCAATTAGACATGAGAAAGGCATAACAGGGAAAGAATAGGAAGGATGACGCCTGTTTGCAGGTGGCCCCATTCTTTACTTACACACTTTATAAAGTCTAGTAGAAAACCCTTGTGCCCAGCAAACACAAGTTGCATGGTAGAAAATCAATATTAAAGAAAATAAAAAAGATACTAAATGATGGAAAGCTCTTGCAGGCCCTAGGCTGGCAGCACTAATAATATTGTGAAAATGGCTAAACGACCAGAACTAATTTGCAGTTGCATACAATGTCTATAAAAATTCTGCTATCATATTTCTCGGGTTTAGAAAAAAAAAATAATCCAGGCATCCACACGGAATCACAGAAGGTGATGAATTGCCAAGGTGATCCTAGGAGAAAGAATGCCTCACAATTCCAAGACTCAGATTACACTACAGAGCTACAGTGACAGAGAGCCTTCTACTGACATAAAAATACAGTCTAGTGAAACAAAATACGGAACCCCAAAATAAGGTGACATAGCTATGCTAACTCAATTTTTGACAGAGAACACAGCAACATGCATTGAAAAAAAGATGGCCTAGTCAATAAATGGTGCTGGTAAAAGTAGCCACTTACCTGCACAATAATTCTTATATTTTACCTTGTACAAAAATCAATTTAAAACAGGTCAAAGACTATGTTTCAAAACCGGAAACCCTGAGAGTAGTACAAGAGAACATAGGGAATCCCCCTCAAGACACCGGACAAGGCATGAACTTTCTGAAAAGAGCACCAGCAGCACAGGAACTAACTCGTATCCACAGATGGGACCTCATGAGAATAAGAAGTTGCTGAGCAGCAAAGGAAACAATCAGCATAGCACACAGCCCGCAGAATGGGAGAAAATTTTTGCCAGCTACACTGCAGATAAGGGGCTCCAAAATCTACAAACTGCAGAAATTAAATATCTGGGAAATAAAACTGCCAATCAACAAACTCTTTTAAAGTGTTGTATATCCTAGCCACCAGGAAAATACAAATTCAAACTCCTTAGAGATCCTACCTTATCTTAGTCAGAATAACTGTCATCAAGAAAGCTGACAACAGGGGCTGGAGAGCAAGCTCAGCAGTGAGGGACACTTGCTCTTGCAAACAACCTGGGTTCAACTCCCAGCACCCACTCAGCAGCTCACAACTGTCAGTAACTATAATTCCAGCAGATATGACACCTTCTTCTGGCTTCGCTGGGCACCAGGCATAAACACGGTGGACACACATACACTAAGGTAAAACACCCACACACAGACAATACATAAATCCTAAAAAGAAAGAAAGAAAGAAAGAAAGAAAGAAAGAAAGAAAGAAAGAAAAGAAAAGAAAAGAAAAGAAACTTGACAACAAACGTTGACGAGGGTACTTCAAGAGGAGTCCTGTTGGCAGGGGTTACAAGTTATACAGACATTCCTGAAACCAGCTTGGAGATCTCTCAAAAAATTAAACTACCTTCTGACTTAGCTATTTCACTCCTGGGCATATTCCCAGAGATCTCTATACCGTATCAAACACATATTTGCAATTCCATATTTATTGCTGCTTTATTCACTATATTAAGAAAATGGAACCAACCAGCTGTCAACACATGAGTAGATAATGAAAATCTGGTATACATATAAAACAGAACACTACTCTGTTCTAATAACGATGGAATTCACTATGTAGACCAAGCTGGTCTCTAAAGCTGTGCACCACTATGCCCAGCTATTTTTCTAGTTTTAGCTGTCATGGGTTTTTGGTAGTAAAATAGAAGTGCCACAGCTCAAGAATGGCTGTCCTAATCATACAGAAGTCCACGGAGAAACACAAACTTTGAACATAGCTACTTTTCCTGTGTGATGATTTTTATTTGCAAGTTCTTTATAATAATGTTTCTTTTTTCCCCACTTTGAGACTACTGTGTAGTTTTGGCCTGGAACTCAGAGCTCTGCCTTTGAATGACCAGTATGTGCTCTTAACCACTGAATCACTTCCCCAGCCCCAAAGAATCTTTTTCTCTGGAGCCTAATACCAAGAGAGAGAGAGAAACAAACAAAATAAAAAGTTTTCCCCTACAAGAGAGAACATCTGTGAACTAAGAAACAACCCTAGGTGTTACAAACATGAACATCCATGTGAAGCAATGATTGACATAATTGCTCCCAATTAATGACAGACACAAAACAACACGTACAGTAAGTTAAAAACCAACAACACTAAGTAGCTAAACACTGAAGAGATGCACCTCTAGGTGCATATTCTGTCCTGAAGATCAAAGATAAAGTGTAAAAATGAGCCAGAGAAGGGCAATGACTAATTACATTGGGCTTCAGTTTATGATTCATGAAAGCAAGAGAGTGCAGTAATTTATTTAAAATATTAAAAAGAGAAAAACTCTATAGCACTAGAATTCAGAACTGAGCAAAACTATCCTTTAAAATTCGGGAAAAGGGAGCTGCCGAGATGGTGCAGTAGTTAGATGCATCCCTTTCTCAAGGAGGAACTGGGTTTGGTTCCTGGCACCCATATGGTGGCTAACAACTATCCTTTTGTCCTCTGTAGGCAGCAGGCATTCATGTGGTACATGTACATACATGTAAAATAAATATAAATTGTTTTGCTTTTTTAATGAGGGAAATGCCAGGTGTGGAGGTTTTTCTCTGTAGTCCCAAATGGTCAGGAAAATGAGGCAGAACAATGCCAACAGAGGCCTGGGCAACATAGGTAAGATCTTTTCTTAAGACTGTGAATGAAGGGCCAGAGAGGGTAACTTCAGTGCTGTATTATCTCTCCAAGGCAATGGGTTTGCTCACTAAAACTGGAAAAATAAATAAATAAATAAAGTGAACAAAAGGTCTGAGACAAAGAAAAAGGGAGGCGCTTCTGGAGGCTCTAGCTGACTGGAACTGGAATTGTGAGAAGTCCTTCATGAAGCTGGTCATGGTGAGGCATGCCTTTAACCCCCGCATCTGAAAGGCAGAGGAAAGCAGATCTCTGAGTTCAAGGCCAGCCTGGACTACACAGTGAGCTCCAGGGCAGCTTGGGTACATGGTGAGACCCTGTTTTAAAAAAAGAAAGAGATATTTTCATCTTATGTGTATCATATGCCTACCTGTCAGCCCCTGGAGGCAAGAGGGTATCAGAGGCCAGAGGGGGTGTCCTATTCCCTGGAACTGGTTAGTTACCATGTGGGGATGAGGACCTAAACCTGAGCCCTCTGCGAGGGCAGGCAGTGCTCTTAGCCACTGAACCATCCCTCTAGCCTTTCTTTTTTGACGACAGGGACTCAAACTGGCCTGGAATTTATTATGTAGCCTAAGATGGAATCGGACTTGAAGGGATCTCTCTGCTTCAGCTTCCTAAGTGGCAGGATTAAAGGCCTGGTGAGCCACTTAAGGTTTTGCTTTTCTTTCTTAAAAAAAAAAAAACAAAAAAAAAGGCAGGGTGCAGTGGCGCACGCCTTTGATCCCAGCATTCAGGACACAGAGGCAAGCTGATCTCTGAGTTCGAGGCCAGCCAGGTCTACAGAGTTCTAGTATAGAAGAGCTACACAGAGAAATCCTGTCTCGGAAAAGCCAAATAATTAATAATAATATTTAAAAATCAGACCTATTTTATGTGTATGAATTTTTTGCCTGCAAATACGTATCTGTACCACCTGTGTGTCTGGTGACCAAGGAGGCCAGAAGGGGGTTGTAAGGATCTCCTTGAACTGGAGTTACGGATGCTGGCAACCCTGTCCTTTGGAGAGGAGCAAGTGCTCTTAACCGCTGAGCCACCTCTCCAGTCCCAACAAGGATTACACTACGAGATCGCACCACGGAGGCCAGAGATAACGAAGTTCTGCTCTAAGCTGGAGAGGGAAGCTAAGGTTTGGAAATAAACGAATGCTGCGGAAATTTAGAGATTTACCTCTAGCGCTGAAATGCTCTGGATTGGAGGCCAAGGCCTCAGATCTGAGGCTGTTTCCAACATCTTCGTAAGACTGCGGGGTACGTACCGCTGTTCTCGGGGCAGAGGCCCGCACAAGCGTAGCTCTTCCAGCGCCCAAAGACGCACTCTAAACCCCGCTGCCGCCGGGCTGGTGGCCGCGCGGACCTGTGGGCCCGACAGCCCTCCCCTCTCCTCCCCTCGCCCTCTGCGGGGGCGGCCGCACTCACCATCGCAGGCCTCCGGGTGCCTAGGCTTTGCCTGATCCGGAGGAAATCGCCCAGGTCCCAGTCGCCCATTCCAACCAGCCTATTTAACGTCACGCGCAAGTGCACGACGTGGCCACGCCCACCACTCCGCCCGAGACCTAGAAGGGGTCACCTTTCCTGAGTGAACGAGAGGCAGAGGGAATGTTCCGGGACGTGAGCGGTTAAGTTGTTCCGGTGAGACCCTGGCGTCTTCACGCAGCTGCTTCTGAATAAGGGAACACAAATGCTCAGCTTCTGGTCGCGCGACATCTAGCGTTATCCAGAACAGTTTGTGGTGTTTGCAAGAGTAGCTGAAGTCTTCTTGCAGGGATGGAGGTTTGGTTTAATGCTATGAGGCTGTTCCTGGAATCCCCATTGTTTGCAGACACTCTTAAAATTAACCCTGAATCTGGGCATGGGGTTGCACTCTGTAATCCTAGAGTTTGGGAAATGAAGCAGGAGGATCAGGAACTCAAGCCCTTGTTCAAGGCCAGCCTGGGCTGCATGAGACACTGTATAAAAATAAAGTGAACTTGAGGGTATAGCGCAGTTTTTAACCACTGTGAAGCCGCATCAGCCCGTAAACAGACAAAAAAGCGTCTCTGTCATGTTTGAGCAGGGTTTGCCTCGTAGTTTCCCCGTCCTCACAGATCCGAATTTGGAAAAGCATCTCCTACTGTAGTCTGACGCTTGCTTGAACTTGACAACCTGAGCATGGGTGTTGGCTTCTTTCTCTATTTCTCTGCTGTCTAACAAAGGCTGGTTCTATAGCTCAGGCTGTCTGAGAACTCAGGACCATTCTGCCCCAGCTTCTCTAGTGTCATGATTACAGACATTGCCACCAGCCTAGCTGAGTTCTTATGTTTTGACACTACAAGTGAATACACTTGACCTTCAAAAACTGAGAGAACTCACTATTAATATGAATTAGCCCAAGACTCCGTGTCTCCAGCCACAGTTCTGAACTGTGGGTTATGACTTCCACAGGATCGCATAGCAGATGTCCTGTATGTCAGACATTTACCTTACATTAACTCGTCACAGCAGCAAAATTACAGTTAGGAAGCAGCGATGAAATAATTTTATGGTTGGAGGTCACCACAACATGAGGAACTGAGCTGGGCACGGTAGCACACGTCTGTAACCTGCACTCTGGGAGGCAGAGGCAGGCAGATCTCTATGAGTTCCAGGCCAGCCTGGTCTACAAATCGAGTAGGACAGCCAAGGCTACACAGACAAACCCAGTCTTGAAAAACCAAACACCAGAACATGGGGAACTGTGTTAAAGGGTTGAAGATTTAGGAAGGCCTGGAACTACTGGTCTAGGTGTTCATGTTTTCTCTCTCATATTTCTCAGACAGAATCTCGCGCTACAGCCAGGGTTGGCTTGGCTCCAAACACCTCTGTAGTTGAGTCTGGCCTTGAATTTATGCTAATTCTCCTGTTTCAGCCTCCTGAGGGCTGGGGTTGCCAGCATGGGCAATGTGATTGTCGTGTTGGTTGTCAACTTGAGTACATCAGGAATTAACTGAAACCCAAACGGCTTGGACACCTGTGAGGGTTTTTTTTTTTTTTTCCTTAAGTAAATCATTTGAAGTAGGAAGGGCTTCCTTTAATTCAGATGTTTGAGGTAGGAAGATAAACCTTTAATCCAGGTCTTTTAAGGTGGAAAGACTCACCTTCTAATCTAGACCATGCCTTCTGCTGAAGACAGAAGTTTGTTTCTGTGCCTACTTCAGGATTCCTGAATGTACTGAGACATCCAATCTCATGGACTGAACACCTACTGGGTTCTTGGACTTAGGCAGCCATTGTTGGATTAGCCTGTAAACCATTCTTATACCCCCCCCCCCCCATATAGATTCATACCTTATGTTCCTTTAGACAACCCTGACTAATATAGGCAACCAGGTTTGGTTTCAAATTTATTTACAAGATAGGAGGACCGACTAGAGGGGCGTAGTTAAATGCAATGCTAGTCATTATGAGATCCCATCACCTCTATAGCAATATGCAAATGGAAGTTATTGAAATATTGAAAAAATTAAAAAGTACTTGCTTTTTAATAAATCTATCAAGTCGAAAGGGAAACTGACTAGTATCATGGACTTCAGCGATGTCCTATGTGCTATTATACTCTGGGCTACTTCATTCCCCTCCACCACTGACCTCCATCTGTGCCTTTAGGTTGGCTCTCGATGGTTACTTCCTCCCGGGGATGCCCTTCATGTAGCTTTCATATGGCAGGTATCCCAAGTCCAAATTAAATGTTCATCAGAAGCTACTGACCTGCCCTAATGCAAAGCTGAGTAAAGTCTTGGCTGAGCTGGACTTAATCAGCCTTTTTTGAAATTACAAGTAAATTCTGACCTTCTTACACCTGGAAAAACAGTAAATGGCCAATATTCACTCCTTATATGAGGCTTAAGTTTCCCTGCCTGTGATCTGAGAGAGAGATTCAATTTAAGATAGCTGAGCTTGCCAGGTGTGATGCATGCCTTTAATTCCAGCACTCGGAAGGAGAGACAGGCAGATCTCTGTGACTTCGAGGACAGTCTGGTTCCAGACAGCCAGGGCTATTACACAGAGAAACCCTATCTTGAAAAAACAAAACAAAGAAAAGATTCTATGCCTCTCTGGAGCCCAAAGTCTGGGGTGTTCACATATTTGTATTTATATGTTTTGGAGATATTAATGATTGATTGGTTTTCTGAGAGACTTTAGCCACCTTCTTCCAGGACAATCATATCAACTTTAAGAACCTGGATTTGTGAGCTGTGACTTATAGTTCAGGGGGTGCAGGACACAAATATGACAAAAACCTATCACTCTTTCATGATGGAAATTTAAGGACAAACGTCTATAGAGATCGTCCTCTGGTTAAGAGCTCCAGCTGCTCTTCCACATGGCTTGGGTTTACTTTCCAGCAACCATATGGCATCCCACAGTTGTCTGCAACTCCAGTTTCAGGAGATCCAGCTTCCTCTTGCTGTGGATCTGGGATTGTTCAACATGAGATTCAAATTTTGGTTTTAGTAATTTAGAGGCTTTTTATTAAAAAGACTCACCAAGACTGAAGCAGAGAGAGTCCTCTAGGTCAGGCCCTGGCTATTATTAGTCCATGGATTATTAAGGTAAAACCTACAAAGTTGTAAATTTGGGGAGCTAAATAAACACATATCCTATCTGGATGCTTGATTTTGTAACTGATGACCAGTAGGTGCCTCAGATATCCAAGCAATTAAGCATTGTTGTGCCCAATTCCTGAGACTTCAAAAGACCACCAGGAGTTGAGTCCGTTGCAAAACACATGAGGATCTTTCAATATAGCAATAGCTCAGGCTCACACATCCTCACTGCCATAGAGGTTGAGAGCAGAGAGTCTTGTGCTCAGGTTAGGTAGTTGATTTAAAGATTCCAGTTCCTTCCAGGGTGCCCAAAGCAGGGGAATTCCTGCCTGGCAAGTGTCTATTGGTTGAAACACAAAAGGGGATGTTGCAGTTTGAACTGATTGGCTAAAGGAAGGCCCCAAAACCATTAATGGTTTGGCTTCCCTTATTTGGCTGTCCTAGGGAAGAGGGGCCACTGTATCTCTAGTGGGCAGGAAAAGAATGCAATAAGGCTGGTTCCTCCCCATGTCTCCACCTGTCTGGCCTTTGTTCAGGCCTGTTTTAAACTTTAAACCATTACCCCCCCCCCCCAGAAAAAACCTAATTTTTAATTCTTTGGTCTCTCATTCCCCCCTTCCCATGATCATGTGAAGACCCAGTCTTGAGTCTTCCAGATATGACCCCCGGTATCCTCCAGATTTACCTTTCCACAATGGGATCTGAGTACCATTAGCTGTATCCAAGCATTTCTTCATGAAAGCCATCAAGCAATTTAAAATACAAGGCCCAAAGGTAAAAATCAAAATAAGTAGGGGTCCCATCTGAGTGGATATAAGGGTAGTTAGCCAAGGAGAACTATTAAACCAGGATTTAAACCATCCTCTGGAATCCTCTCTTGCTAGTGTCTCTCCCGGCTTTTCATTTTTCTTGCTAAGGATTTCCTAATCATTCCCAACTGGTTTACATAAAAACAATATTTCTTTCTAAGGGCTGCACATAGCCTATCCTGCTGTAAAAACAACAGATCCAAGCCCCTTCTGTTTTGCAGTACTACTTCTACCAGGGAATCAACATGCTTTCATAAATGGGTGATTGAGTTCCCAAGGCATTGAATATCTTTATCAATATCTGCCTTTAAGCTGTTATAGCTCTGGCTTTGTACAGCCAGTGCTGCAATACCAATTTCTACTCTGGCTAAACAGATCCCCAAGATAATAGCTAGTGTCAGGGAGCCCCTTTTGACTTAGCATTTCAGCCTGCCAGGTGGGATTAGGGCAGAGGTTTCTTCTTCTGCATCTATTTCAGTGCTGACTGTTGTGGGTTATTAATATTTATTATTGATTTATCTTTTAGTTAAGCAGTGGTTATTCCTAAACCAGCTGTATACCCAAATCACTACATACAGACTGGGATTTATTTAATTAACCTAGAGCACAATGCTGAGCAATAGTTACTCCATCCTAAACCTCCAAGCCCACATAGTTTCCTCCCATTCAGATTTCACCCATTATACTTGCTTTTAGTCCAGATCATCCCTGCACATGTTGAAGCCCTGTCCTGCTGATCTCTGCTCCTCTGCTCTCTTGCTTCCTTCCTCTCTCCCCCAACCCCAGACCAGGATGTCCCACCCAATTCTCCCCATTGCATTGCAGTGGCTGGTTATTTTATTGACAATATAGAGAACAAATGGTGGCATGTTTACGAAAACTTGAGACATTGTGATTCTAAGCATCACAATGCAATGTCCAGATTGAGACCGGATAGTAGGGTAGAGAAATCAGCATTCGAATGAACAAGGGTACATTCCATAAGACTATTATACCAACAGTTGACCATGGGGCCATTGACATCAG